TTCGCCGACTGCGCGAGAGGTCGATGACCCATAAGGCTTTGAACCGGGACATGTTGCGTTTAAGCTTTTTGTAGAAAGTGCTGTTACTTCGCGTTACTTTTATATTAAAGTGAATCCTCGCTGGCTTGCCGCGGAATAATTTACCGTTTTTCGCGTGTAACTCGCCGCAGTTTCAATTATCTCGTCCTTCGACGTAAACAAGTACCTATGCGGATACACACACACACACACATGATGCATCGAGTTGGTCAGCCCTTCGGGGCGGAAATAATAGTGTTAGAATTAGTGTTTAATTATGTAATTAAAAATGCATTAAGGTATTTAAAAAAAAAACAAATTGCTTACATTTAATTACGATTTTCTTAATTACGCAAACGAGTATAATTACGTTGCGCATTTGATCAAGTCGGGAATATTGTTCCGTTTGAAATAAATCGTGAATTCGATGATACGATTTCGTAGTCATCTTCAGCTCTCGGGTTGTCTCGCGCGGCAAACAAATTTCTCCCCGTTATTCGCCGCGATCTTTACGCACACGCAATCCACTTGATAAACACGCGTATATACGTACGTCGGACGGTCCGTTATATACTCCTAAAGTAACAGTTACGAGTGCGCGGAACGGCAGGCGCACGCGGGGAGCAAAGCACCTTGCTTCGATCCGAATGGGTTCCATGGAAACGGCGTTTCCGGTTCACATTCGGTTTTCTATCCGCGCTGGTCACTATTACGCGTCTGATTAGAAACCTATGATGAGTGATGTGCAACATGCCGCCGCTAATTTTCTGGTTTTTTTCGCGCGCCATCGTAGCATCCCGATTTCTCTCTCAATCGAAAATCGATATTATAGACATTTTTATACGGAATCTATCAAGTACTTTAATGAGACGAAATTTTCGACGTCGGTAACTTAATGAGACACTTTTAGTAGCGATTGTCATCCACGAGATTCTACAAGTTAAATGACCCAATTATAATCAATATTAAATAATTTTGAATGAAGTTTTTTGAACTAAATATATATCTATTTTATTAGATGAATCATGGATAACGGTATCGATTAAAAAATTAATTTTTATATCACATATACTGTATTTTTGTCTTCAAAAAATATATCTTTAACTGAGTAACACAATCATTGTTTAATCTAAATAAATTAATTATTATTAATTATTCATTAATTATATAAAAAATTGTAATTTAACTTGAAAGGATATTTAAATAAATAAATTTTTTATACGTTTTAAATACGTTTTCAATCTAATTTAAAGATTATTAAAATGTTATATAAATTTCAGCTAATGCTTTTATAAATAAATTTTAACTCAATTAAAAAGTATGCCATTACATTGAACATCAATTCAATTGATCAATTAATTTTATTTAAATAATTTTATAATATTTTAAAAGTGGGACATTAAAGTAAAATCACATAATAATTAACATATAACAAATCATGACAGATTATAAAAAATTTTGTAGTAGGTTATCATTAGTATCATCGTAACGCCATTTTTGCAGCAATGCTTGGATTCTGCATCCGAGAGTACTGACCTACAGAAAACGAACTATTCCGAAAGTTCGCAGTCACCGATGTTCGACTGCGATTCGTGTGCAAGAAGCGGTCCGCGTACCGTAGGAAATTAATATATCTGGTACACAGTCGTTCTCCTGCCGAGGAGGGAAAAGATCGACGACCCCGAGGAACGTATCTGGGTTAGTAGTCGTCGGCGATTCACGCGGAAACTTCTTTCGCTAGGCGGGACCGCCGCCGACCGGCTCACCGTCGTGGAAATCGCATCGAGGTGAATCGCACGTGTTCTTCCGTCGAAAAGTGAAATTCGGCATGAGTTGCCGTATCACGTATACCCACGCCGAAATTTCGTCACACCGAACGAAGAGGTCAACGGCTTCGTCAGCCATAATCATAGCGTACAAAACCCGGTTCGGTGAAGTTACACGTAGAACGGATTCGCCACGGTGTGCGCGAACGACACATTTTATTGGCACGTAATTTTCAGGTTTTTCCTTTGCTTTGTGGTATATATTTATTTATTTTCAAATAGCAATTTTTTTGCTCTTCGCCCGTGAGAGAAAAATTATCGAGGGGATTACTCTCATGCGCTCGTGTATTAATTAATTTTCTTGGTGGACCGCAAGCGATGGATTTTATCGTATGGTCGGTCGGCGCGATTTAACGATCGGTCAAATGTAAATTTTGGAGGTCGGAATAAAATGTACGGACAAAGCAGCATTGGGAAAAAAAGCATTGGGCTGTGTCTCGCCCGTAAATGAAATTCTACGGTGCGCGCGATTTCGATAAAATTACGAATAAATCACGCGCAACCCAATATTCTATTAATATCGGGAGCAACGCCAAGTGAATTATAGAGAGTCAATATATATCGCAGTGCTAAATCGTCCTGCGGTAAATATGAATTTTGCTTCTCTGATTGCTCTTTGTTGAAAACTCCTATACTTTTTTTATATGAATTTATTTCATAACGCATGAGATAATATCTGATTAATATAGCTGCTGCAAAAAAATACGTATAGTATTTAATTTCATTGGCGAATTTAAATTACAATTTTGGAAGGCTTAAACTTTTCAAGAAAAATTTGATATAAAGGATTTGTACAATAGCATATTAAAATGTTGTTATTTTTAATTTTTACAATGTTAAATTACCCGAAAATTAAAAGCTTAATTCAACGTTAGTGCTACGCACAATTATTATAAAAAGTAATATAATAACTGCAAATGTAGAATTTAAGAGTCAGTTATAAAAATTAAATAAAATATAAAATCAAATTTTTATTGAAATATTGTGTAGAAATTGAATTTTTATTGGATATTCTGTAGAATTTGAATTGTGTTTTAGCGTGATATACGAATAGTATATAAGAATAATATATAAAAAGTATATAAAGTAATGACATTTAAAAAAAATCTACAAAGAAAAATTAAGCTACAAAGAGTGTTCTCGAAAACTGTCTGTGTTCTCAAAAAACCGCAGTAATCGACTTGTGTACATTTTTTCAGATAAATGATAAAATTTCACGATACACGCGTGGGTCCCCGGTGATCGTTCACGTAATCTTGCGCGATAGAATCGCGACCGGTCTCTCGGATTAGGGTCTGAGAGCTTCGAAAGTTCAGCGACCTTTCTTCTCATGCCGCGATATGTCGGCAGTCTTGCCGACTAATCTCGCGATGACTCGAAAAGACTCGAGTCGCGCGCACGCTCTCGCATAGTCGAAGTGAACGGGGTTACCGATCTCGAATGGCCGTGACTCTGGGCCAGGGTCTGGGCCAGTCGGATTCCATGTACCCGGTGATCGCGAAGTTGACTCGCAAAAAACCGAGAATTTGTATGCCGGTGGCGTACAGACATTATATGTACCGTTGCTGTCTCCGCATAATTCGTAAATAAATTACGATGTGTTTCGTACGCGAAACGACTGACCGATCTCGTTTGTACAATAGACGCAGTTGGTTTACTACAACACAGCTGAGTACCGTGTTTAATAACAACGTACTCGTGTTGGTGAAAATATTTATAGTTGTACGTAACTCGAAAACTATTGATTGAAAACGCCAACAGTATATCGTTTTAAAAAAATTAAATTTTAAATTGAAAACATTGGATTATTATAGCAATTTAAATGTAGTAGTAAGTTCCCCACTGATTTGCATTCATATCGTACGTGGTCGCTTCATGCACTAAGTCGTGAATGAGAATAGATGGTTGGAGGGGCGAGTCTGAGTTAGACGGAGGGGTTAAACGCACGTTCCCGCAAAGGGGTTACTAGAGAGCGGCAGACAAGGAGAAATGGTGCGAGAGGGATGCGTCGAAGAAAAACATGAAAAGGGCAGGGTAAAACATATCAACTTTACAGTAGTGTGATAAAGTCAAAAAGTAAAAATATAATAATTAATGATAAAAACGCGTATCATCCATTAAAATATATTCAATTATACTATTTTAATAATTATTAAAGAAAATTATCAAGTAATAATTAAATTTTTATTTAAATCTAAAAATACAGATATTTTGGAGCTTTGCAAAAATGTGCAAAGACACCGTCCTTTCATTCAACTGCTAATTGAATTCTCGTCGCGGCTCTTCCCAGCACGAGTAATGCCTTATAATCGCGAGAAGTTGCCGAAAGAATTAAACTTCGGAGCTGACCGGCGCATGTCTCCTGTCGTCACATCGACAGCAACGAGGGACGAGCAAACAAGCACTGCGACGACAACAAGAGAAAGGGAGAAAGCGGTGCACGGAGCAGGGGTAGTGCGCCGAGGGGGTTGGTTGCACGCGCGTCGAAGCGGGTGGCGGGTGGGTTGCAAGGGGTAACGGGAGAATCGAGAAGAGTAACGAGGAGGGTGAAATACGATAAACGGCGAGACAAGGATACAAGAGGGAAATGTATGAGAAAAAGAGAAGAGGATGAGGTGGTGGTGGTAGGAGCGAACGAGGAGGACTGAGCGGGGAATGCACCGGGAGGGTGGTAGATGGGGACGAAGAGTGACGTACAGTGAAGCGAGACGCACAAAACAGGGAGGAACGGGAGGATTCGGGGGTAGCGAGGAAGGGCGAGGACCGAGGGGGAGAGAGAGAGGGTGAAAAGGGTGGTAGAGAGGAGGAGAGAGAGAGAGAGGAAACCTCTGGCAACGGGTCGATCGAAAGCGCAGCGCAGAGAAATGCACCACCTCTGCTCTGGTCTGGCAGCTTTGCGGGCGCACCACCGCGTCCGCGTGCGTCAGAAAGAGAGAAAGAGAGCGAGAGCGCGAGAGAGGGAGAGACGGTGGAAGAGGCAGAGAGAAAGGGACCGACGGAAGCGGAAGGGAGACCGACGTATATCCGCCGACCAATACCGGCGCAGGGGGAAGAGGATGAGAGGAGAGCCAAGCCGAGTCGCGTTGGGCTAGGTCAGGTCTACCCGAGTTCCACACACACCGCGCTCTCTTGCGTGTGCCATCCCGCCGACGAGAACCACACGAAGGCGGAGGCGCAACCCCTTCGCGAAAAAGAGGGTCGCCGCGAGTTCCCGGTGCTCGCGAATAGATTCTCGAAAGCGCGTCACGATTTTTTGGAAAAAAAAAAACAGTATCCGTGCAACTTCCTTCGCGTTCGCCAATTACGCGTCTCGCCGAGAGTTTCGACGCGGATCGGTGCCGAGGAGTGTGACCATTCAGGAAAGCCGGTGACAGTGTGCATCGTCGAATGACGCTTCGATAGTATGACACGAGGAAAATCCGATCGGCAGTGAATAATCGCGAGTGTTCACGCGCGTGTGTTGGGCCACTAAGCCAGAATCGATCGCTCTCTCGAAAAAGGGGGAAGCAGTAGAAAAAAAAGGAGTATAGGGAGACGTCCCTCTGGACGGTGATTCCGGTTGCCGATTCGCTCAGCGGCGGCGAGAATTGGCGTTGTTGACAAACAACGCGCACGACGGCGAATTAGATAGGGGAACATCGGCCGATCGGTGGCAATCGATCGCAATTCCCTTTTCCCGATGTCCTGATAATCGATAAGCATCGTCGCCGCGTAGGTGGCCGCGTAGGGACCGCCTAGGCAGAGCCGGGGCAGCGATCGGCCTTACCGACGTAATTTCTCACCCTCGCCCTCCGCGTGATCCTCGGCGCGATCAAATCGGGCAAGATAAATGTTGAGGATAAGCGACGCTTTGCGTCGCCCGCCAGCGCGAGGCCAAGAGGACCGGGCCTTAAGTGCGACTACCGGGGCCGGCAAGATGCCGGTCTCTCTGAGAAATCACAGAATCACGTAAAGGGCGGCCGCCGGCCCGTAACGGTTCACACAGCCCTTCGCACCGCGCACGCACGGTCGCGCAACGGCAAACGAATCGCGACAGAAGAGATATCCTCGAGGTGACCTAGGGTGGTGAACCTACGTTTCCACCTCGAGGAACAACGTTGTCATCATAGTGTTTGTTTGTCGACACCCGATGCACCAGAAGCCGTGAGTACCGCAAATCCGGCTCGTCATTGAGAGAGATCGCGCGATTAGTACAACGAGAGGAGTACGTTTGTTATTAGAGTGTTCAAAATGATGAAACATACTGATTGTGAGTTTCGCGAGTCCTTTGCTCTCCTACAATCTAACATGGTGAAAAATACAAAAATGTATGTGGCTCTTTGCTAAAAGAATGAAACTCGGCTTGCTTCTTTGCTATTCTATAGTGATGGAAGTACTGCGAAGAAAATAAATTTCCTGATATGCAAATCTCTTTTTCTTTTATATGTGAACGATTAATCTCACAAATCAGATATAGCAAATTTAAATAGATTCAATGAATATTTGTATTAATAGAATTAATAACTGTAATATAAAAGGATAACAAATTTGCAATGAGCGGCCGGTCAAAACATCGTATATGCGCTTTCTCCAAGGATCGATCCTGTCGCGGCTACATTTCTGCGTGTTACGAATGCAATCCTTTGAGTAAAATGCATACATAGCATTTGAATAACTTTTAAAACGACAATTTTCAGACCTTTCTTCGGAAATCTCATTACAAGATGAAAAATTCGAGAGGAGGAGAATTTCATTACGACAACATTTATTCGTGTAAAGATTCAATAATCTAGAGTATTGACAAATATAAATTAAGAAGCGATTTAAAATAATTATATCAAAACAACAAATTGATTTGTTATAAGAAATTATTTCTTCAATTTCAACAAAAGTGGAAATAAATACATAAATAATGGAAATTTGATGAAAAATAAATATGGCATGAAATATAGATAATCGAGAAAAATATTTATCCGTCAAAATGAAAAATTGCATGCAATACTCCTACATTTTTCGGCTATGACTACAGAGCTTTCAATAACGAATAAACTCTGAAAACTTGCAAGAAGAAAAAGATAACTGATTATTTGTCGTAGAATTGTACGACAAATCGTAAGACTTCTAAGCGCCTGTAATTTATAATAATTAAATGTTCAAAAATAATCTATTATTGAATTTCATTGATAATTTAAGAAGCACCGTAAAATTCTGTTTGAATATCATGAAACTTGTGATATGAAGTTATGGCAATTATGTATTTCAATAAGAGAATTAAGATGTCAAAGTTGCGGTATTTATTTTATTATTTTATTATATATTTCAAAAATGTATTTCTCTGTTTTTGAAGAACACGCGATAAAACGCTTTTGGTTGGAAAATTGCGTCAAAAGTACACGCGAGCGAGCGGCTTGCGATGCCGGCGGTGCGCGATTTTCATGGAAATCGAAATCCATCGGGTAGCGAAAATCCCCGGCGGGTGGTGACGGGCGGGGAAGACTTCGGAGTTTATGCCCCCGTCCCCCTTCTTCTCCTCCCTTCCTCCCTCTCTCCCTCTCACCCCTGCAGTCGATCAATGCGTGGACGGGTTTCACTTTCGCGGTGTTAAAGTGTTGCACCACCGCAAATTGAAGAGTCGGCGAGAAAACCGGATCGCGGATCGCAATTCAATTCAACTCAATCACTATTTTCCATTAATTAATATTCATGAAAAAAATCTTGATGATAATGTTACCTGCATACGCATGTGAATAGAGGCAATTATCTTTCGTTTATGTAATTATCGATTATAAATTATCATCGTGGAAACAAGCCCCATTCGTATTAAAAACAAATTTACAAAAAATCGTCGTATCATCAGAAGGCTATCCGGTGATTATTGATATAGCTGATTATTGATATGGCTATTTCTATGTGTTTGCTATTTATTTCTGTATGCATCGATCGACTCGGTTCCGGATGGCCTGAGCCTCGATTCAAGCTTGTTGCAAATTTATCATTTCCTGGAGTTGCGCAAAGGTCCGATGAATATATGTACAAGAAATAGAATTATGAGACGCTGGCAGTCTTAATTATTCCCCTGAGAATGATCACGTTGGTTAAATTTCGCAACATTTAATGATGACGCCTGAATTTATCCCATCGCTTGCTCAATAATAAAAATAAAAAAAAAACATAGATCTATAAAAAACCCGATACGGGTAAAAAATAGTGAAACATCAATGGCGACGCCTCGATTATTCATTTGAGTGTTACTATATCGGATTCCATATTTTGCCTCATAATAGCAATATTCCTGTCGATGTATTTGTGCTCACTTATATCTTTTTTTATTCCAGAACACAATAAAATTATTCTTCCTAAACAACAATAGAACACACAAACTCACTTCCCAAAGATCGTTGTAACAAATAAAATCGAACGGCAAGCGAAGGAAAACGCGATAGCAATGTGTATAAGATTAACAATACTCACAAAACACATCGTAAATATTCGAAGCTTTTCTAATGTATAATCCGTTTAAAAGGACATATAATCCGTCAACTCGCCTCGTTCAATTGTATGCAGCTTTCCGGCTGCCATAGAGATAAATTACTTTCTGTGAGATATAATTATGAAAGAGTATCTAAGCTGACATCAAAGCATGTGGCTTTTGCGTCAATTAATAATGATGAAATCCTATTTAAAAGTATTTTACGATAAAAATGTAGTACGAATTTAAATAAAGTTTTTACTCAAGTACCTCAGTAAAATAATCTTGTTAATCAAATTTATATATTCTGATGCATTGCAAGTACACCAGTTATTTTAAACATAATACAGAAGTGTATTGACTTAAAAAGATTTTAACAAATGTATTAGGAAACATTATTCTCATTTTTCCATTATCGAATTAAATTAATGAGTATTTTCGGTTCTATTTGCAGCGAAGGATGGAGGCCAGCGAGTGGGATCACGCGACCTTGAGGGAGGAGGAATTCGAGCAGCATGCCGTATATTTGGTACCGGATGTGGCGGCATCGCCAGGCGATACCAATCGTGCAGAGGCATCTTTGCCGCGGAACCTGGTCCTCAAGCCCTCTCAGGCCCTTAATGATGTACGTTTTCTCACTAAAAAATTCTATCTCAAGACCTTCTCGATAAGAGCCGTAAATGCAAGCACACGAATCGCACCGAGTTATTAATCCTACGACGTCAACTGTGAGCCCGCGTAAAGTCACGCAAGGAAACTGATGACTTCCGAAGAAAAATTCCAATCTGTTAAAGCGAAATGTTAAACTGTCAAGATGCAGAAATTTTAAGATTTAAGCGGATATTAGTACAGATATTATAAAGCAAGGCGATAATCGTAAATCATTTTTTATATATATTGCATCTTTTATTACAAAAATATAATTATTAGAATAAATTTAATAATAATTAAAAATCTTCATTCTCTTGTGCATTAAAATTTCGTTGAAATTTTTTCCATCTGTTAGACATATTTTACAATTAATGAACAAAATCTTTCAATATTATTAATCATTTTTGAATCCTGTAACTTTAATGTCAAGATTGTACTAAACAGAAAGACTACTATATAATTTTCAAGTATTAATTCCTTTTCTAATTTTGTATTAATTTTTCTCACCTAAAATTTCTGCGTCAAGAAAGATAAACAATGCGCGACATAAATTTAACGAATTAATACAAAAGCACGGCTTTTAATGCGTTCTGGACACAAAAAACATTGATGAGAAGGCTCTGGCCAGACGACGCCGCGGAATCAAACTTGACCGAGTGTCGACTAATTAACTTACGAAGCATGACCTAGAGGCGAAGTTGACGATCGTTACACTTTCCTCGGCGCGGCGGGAATCGAGAACATTCAGTGTAATTGGCGCGGGGGTTTGGCCCGAAGCTTCTCAACGCCGCTTATGAAATTTTGGAGTTTGGTGTAGGAACCGAAACATTTGCAAATTGCAACAATGTAATATCTATATTGAAAACGAGAAACGCGCAATAGACTAATCGACGTTCGTCCATCGAGCTTCCGTTTGTCAAAAGAGAAACAAAAGCATCGGAAACGTGCGCCAGTCTGAAAGCACCGAAGAGTTAAATTAGTTTTGCCGAACGAACGTTTCTATGCAATAGGCGGATTCTATTCTAACGTAAGCCGGAATGAAAATAGGTTCTATCTTCTGCCGCGTATTTTAACACAACGCCGGAATAGAGAATGGGCGATGAGAATATCGGAGGAAGCAAACAATGCGCTTTTGTCAATCACTCGTCATTTATACGTTTTTGATAGTTTTTGCGTTCTCCCGAATAAAGCTTAAAGAATTCATGAAAGAAACTGTCGACCGCGCAATTTTTCTAATGGATTTCAAATCACAATTTCATTACGATTGCAACAGTGCCTTTTGAAAGTAATTTGTATTTAAAAATAATTTAAAAATTAATCTGTGGTTTCGAAAATTAAAATCAACGTCGCAAGTAACATCTTGATAATTCTTCCTAATTCACTTATCTTTTCATACATTTGTAAATCTTTTTATTTTAAAATAAAAAGCACTCCAAATATTTAAGATATATAATGTTATAGTTTATTTAAGAAAATTCTCAGCACTGTAAAATTGATAATTGTATAAATGTTTAAATTGCGGAATGAGAAGCAAGAAGTTAAATTGATATTTAAACTTCAAATATACATTAGTCTTAACATTAATTCTCAATATTAGTCCTAATTAATTATTAGTGTTAACTCCTCGATTTCAGTCGACCTGAAATTAATCGAACATTACATATGTGGCAGGTGTTGGGTGTATGGAGTACCAGTTACATTCCCAAAGGGACACGTTTCGGCCCTCTGGTCGGCCAGGTGTACACGAAGGATTCGGTACCGGAGAACGCGAACCGGAAGTATTTCTGGCGGGTAAGGCTAAGTTTACGTTTGTTATTACAGAGGTATTCGGGTTTGCGATTATACGGCGAGTAACTTTCCATCGAGTCAGTGGTTAACATAGATAAACTCGATGCGACGTCGACAAAAAAAAAAAGAAAGAAGACGCGGAAAAGAAAAGCTAAGATGGAAGGAGAAGCCAGCAAAGGCCAGAAACTGGTTTCAACCGATCTAGCGAGCTTAAAGCAAAACCCGCGAGAAGCCATTGATGTCTCATAACTCATCAATTCGTTACGATGGTTACTTGGTTCCTCCGCGATCTCCGCAACATATGATGCATAATCGCGATGAAAGCTAATGAATGTGAATGTTGACCGATATCGTTTTTTACAGATGTCTTTTTCTCTTATAATAAGAAATTGCAAAATAAAAATTTAATTATGTAATCTGTGATTAATATGAAAAAATCTGAATTATAATTTTAAATGAAAGAAAATATAAATATGCTAGCCATGTTATTAAAAAAAATATGTTAGTAGTTAGCAACACAGTTATCTTACGTAAATAACGATATAAGTTACATAACAAGAGATAATCGGTTGTAATTATGAAAGCCGCCAACGCAAGGCTCTGACATTTTTTTTTAATTCAAAAAAAGTTTTAAATGTCTCCAACTCATCCTTTAGACATTTTTGTTGTCTGAGATTGCTATAATAATTTTTCAATGTACGCATAATTACAAATCATCACTGATTAAAAACCAGCCAACTGTGATGTTCTCATTAATCTGTTTCAATTGTGCATTTTAATGGTCCTAACGCAAAAATAACTTTCGCATTATTAGGTGTACAAGAACAACGAGCTATTCTACTACATCGACGGTTATGACGTCCAGAAATCGAATTGGATGCGTTACGTGAATCCCGCCTACTCGTCCGAATCGCAAAACCTAATAGCATGCCAGTATAAGGTAAAGCAATTTCGCGGAGCATATCTCGCGAAGGAGCATATATTTCAAACCGCATCGGGATTATGAGCGAAGAGAAGCTTATTGTTGTTGCGCTACTTGTTGTTTCAGATGAACATTTATTTTTACACGATCAAGCCGATACTACCGAATCAAGAGTTACTGGTTTGGTACTGTAGAGAGTTCGCGGAAAGGCTCAATTATCCGCTCACCGGCGAGCTGATGCTTCAGAGAATACGTAAGCAAATCATCTTGAACTAATATGTGGCACACGGTTGATTACAATGATATGTAAATGTGGATATTGTTAATATTGAATAAATTTTGTAAAAAAATATGATAAAAAAATGTTCGACAAGCAAAAAGTTCAAAATTATTCGCGTCCAATATTATTCTTACTCATATATTTACACTGCTATCTTCCTGTATTAAATCTTATTCAAATATTTACTATTAAATTATTATATACTTTTTTTCTAATTTGAATATACATTAACATATTAACCATTGAATGTTTTCAGGACAACAAGTTCAACAATCGACGCTGCCGACAGAAATCTCGCCTACCGTCGACGTGGTGTCGCCTCTGAAAGACTCGTCTATCTACGAGAGACGTCAAATGACGCCGACGGACGGTTCTGTGAGGTCGGACGAGGGTTACCATTCGAACGGCTATCACGACGAGATCCTAACTCCGCCCGAGGAGAGCAGCGAGTCCGACAGCGAGAATAACTACGTGCTGGATTTCAGCAAGAACGCCAAATCGCCCGTGTGCAGTGACGAGATTCTAAAACAAGACAATGCGGCGGCAAAGAACGAATACAGGAAGGTCAAGATCAAGATCTCCAAGACCTATGGCAACTTCCAGACGACGAAGGGCATATCTGACGGTCCGACGAAGGAGAAAGACCCGGAGCTGTCCAGTCGGGCGGTTACTCCGGAACTTCAGAAGCCGGTGTCGCCCATCATCCTGCAAAAGAGCACCGTATTGTCAACCGCGAACGAGGACGAGATATCCGAGAAAAAGCCCTTCTACGAGCCGGAAGTCAAAGGTGGCAATTTGCCGATGTCCGGCAGGCCAGCCTACTTGACCAGCCCCAGCAGTTCCATCCTGGAGAACATTCTGCTGCGCAGCAGCACGGACAACAACAATAACAGTCACAGTCATCATCATCATCATAACGGCGTCTCGCAACAGCACCATCATCAGCTGCACCATCAGACCCACGTGGATTCGGTGACGCCGCCGCCTTCCAGCCCCACCGAAATGGCATACTCTTACAAGAAATCTCATCGTTACGGCAATATCCTGCCCTGCAGTCCGGATTCCAGCTCAAATCTACCCTTACAGACGGACTCGTGCGTAAACTCGACCAGCGGCAACGGCACGGCGCTGCCCAGCATACAAAGCCCCACCGGCAATCTACACTCCAGTACAGGAGGTGGACTGCATTCGAGTACCGGAGCGAGCAACGGCAGCCTGCCGCCGCATCCCGGAAATTTGCACTCGTCCAGCAACGTCGGCGGCATTCACTCCAGCACGAGCGTGCTCTCGTCCAGCACGATACTGACATCCACCAGCAATCCACACTCGGCGTCCACGACGGCGAACGGTTGTCCGCCCAAGCGAAAGACGAAGTCGCCGTCACCGTCGTCGAGTCACAACGGCGTCGCCACGCCGACAACGATCCTCTATTCCGGCGGTTCGGCCGGCCCCGGCTGCCAGATCGAGTCCGCCAGTCCGGTTTACCCGAACTCCGCCAGCAGCGGCAGCAGCAATCAGAGTGTCTCGCCGATCTCGCCCATCCAGTCGCCCTCGTCCTACGGTCCGTACGGTAGCCTATACGGTCATCAAAACGGCTCGCTGCATCACAACGTAGGTGCGCCGTTGTCCATCAACTGCACCGCTTACTCGCCCACGCCGAGCGGCAACGTGGTTTACGAGAGAACCACGGACGGCAGACGTCTAGAGGCAGCCACCAGCAGCGGCGGCCACCAGCTACCCACCTCGTCGACCATGCAGATCGACGGCAACCAAGCGCTGATCGCCGGCACGCACAATCTCCACCTGGGTCACCATCCGGGTCTCACTATCCACCCCAATTCATCGTCGTCCCTCAACAGATACTCGCCGGCGAGCTCCCTGTCGCCGGACGATCACGGCTGTTCCCAGAGCGGCTCTCTCAGCCCCAACTCCCAAGGCTCGAGGGGCTACAGATCGCTGCCTTACCCGCTCAAAAAGAAAGACGGCAAAATGCACTACGAGTGCAATGTCTGTTGCAAAACGTTCGGTCAGCTATCGAACCTTAAAGTGCACCTCAGAACACATTCCGGCGAGAGGCCCTTCAAATGCAACGTTTGCACCAAGAGCTTCACGCAACTCGCGCACCTCCAGAAGCATCATCTCGTGCATACCGGTAAATACATCAACTTGCAATTTCTCAATCTTTTTAAATTGAAAATTTATCAATACATTATACAAAATCTTCATTTTTCAATATCAAATAATTTTAAATTTATATAAAATATATTTATATCACTCTATAGCATAATCGTTTTTTGTTTTCTGTTCTTATAAAAAATGTATTTCAAAAAAGTTACATACAATAATGAATAATAAACAAAATTTTAAGAATCTACATACTTTTTTATGTAATATAATTTCTTTTATTTGTTTGAATTGTCCAATTTAATACGGATGTAATTTGAATAAGCGTTTAATGATATTTTTCTTAATATGTCAATAATTTCAATCTCATTTTATTTGCATTCGCACAAATATGATGCTTCTATTTATATTATGTCGATATTGTCTATTTTCAGGCGAAAAGCCGCATCAATGCGAGATATGCAAGAAGAGGTTCAGTTCGACTTCGAACCTGAAAACCCACCTTAGACTACACTCTGGCCAAAAGCCGTACGCCTGCGACCTTTGTCCTGCCAAGTTCACCCAGTTTGTCCACTTAAAGCTGCACAAGAGACTGCACACGAACGAGCGGCCCTACACCTGCCAAGGCTGCGACAAGAAATACATTAGCGCGAGCGGCCTTAGGACCCACTGGAAGACAACAAGCTGCAGACCGAACAACATCGAGGACGAGCTCGCGCTCGCCGCCGTAGGTTCGCCGACGTATTATGAATACGGTCCCGATATGAATGTTGGTAAGTGCAAACTCTCGATAACTATGAAATCGAACCAAAGAATAATTTAACTAACTATAACTCCTTATACGTCGTTAAGACAATTATTATAATGAGGAAAATTCTCGTTAATCGATAAATTTGTCGACACAAACATGAGGACTCTGTCAAAATTGTTTGATTATTCAAACGTCATAAATAAAGGGACGAAAATAAGAGCACTTTAGAGGAACTCTATCACATTTGCAGGAAATATGCCGAAGGAATGCGAGCTGGAACACATCGATAATTATGACAGGCACGGATCGGCGCATGGTCCGCACACTACGTCCCTCCACACCCTGGAAAACTCCGTAGGTCGACCGAGCGTCATAGAAACGTCGCAGCCACATATTATCGAATGTACATAAGCCGCATGATGGAGTGTAAGCCTCCTTTCGTACCGGCGCAAAATGTATCCGTGGAAATGTAAGCGAGTTACTCGCGACTAATGAGACGAGAAAACGAAAAAGAAAAAGAGAGGAGTTCTCCCTCTGAAATGGTAGGAAATGCAAAGAATCGAGATTTTATATATAAAGTCGCACGATAAATCTTCACAAATTCTCCTCTCTGATTTTGGTAAAATAAAATAAATTTACAAAGTGATAAAATAATTTTTAATAAACTAATATTTTTATTGAGAAAAAAATTCATTTTAAAAAAGCGATTTTAATATACAAAATATATTGAAACATTTAAAAAAGAAATTTCTATTTGCCTTTTATAAATTTTATTACTTTTAACTTTTTACAATTGCTTCTAAATTACATCATAACTTTTAATTTCAAATCTTAATATTAACAGAAATAAAGAAGAAATAGTGTTGTGTCAGTATTGTATATAGTTTTTACTTAATCTACAAATATTCCATCAAAATTTGAAGAAGCCAATTTGTGAACATTTTTCGGAAAATAACGAAAAAACGCAAAAAAAATTGCAACATATATGGATAAATCTTTGGCAAAACGATTATTGCTAAAGTAATAGAATTAATCAATTAATAGAAATTATACAATCGATTGATTAACAACTGCCTAAAGTAATCTAATTGTTTTAGTAAACATTTCGAACTTTGTTGCTTTCATAGAAATAATATTTAAAAAAAATGGATTTTTTGTGAGAAACTGATGAAATTTCGTCTAAAGACACATAAAGCTCCTTGTAAATAATCATTTTTATATTTTTTCTATCGTAGTATTATCAACGAAAAGAAAAGTGGCATTCGAAGTAATTAGATTTAATCGATCATTGCACGACAAAGTCATAATGCTATCATTTCAAAAGCAGAAATGGGACGAAAGGTCTAACATAAGCAATGGTATCAAATTCGCTTGGGTTTTTCGATTACTTTTCCACGATGCATCCTAAAAATGCATGCCGAAGAGGCATCGTGATGATGCAACGAATCCCCAACGACTCGAGTATGTTAATTCTTCAATTGATTCCGATGGTTCTCTTAGAATCTTTGTAAATCGTTTAGATTTTTTACATACACTCTGCAATTTTACTTTCAGGAATACCTGAAGAAAACATTACTGTTTCTTCAGTTGTTTATTTGCTGTATTTAATTTTCAACTTATTTTGCAAAACTCTAAAATTTTTAAATACTAGGAAAATTAATTTTAATGAAAAATCAGATTAAAAGAGCAAGTTATTAAGAAAATTCATTTTACTTAATATAGCAGAAATCTTATTTAAATTGCGAGCTATTAAGAAATTTAATTTTGAATAATTTAAATTGAAAATAAAAATTTTAATTTTAATTAAATACTATTTGCATAAATAGTATTTAATTATAAATTTTACTTCTACAATTTTTACTTTCTACAATTTTTGTAAATATATTCACTATTTCTTTTTAATTCTAATTGGTGATATGTGGAACTTGTGCAATATATGAAATATATAATTTATTACTGATAAGACATTATTAAGAAACCGCAAGGATCGTTATGGTTTCAAATATATTGAAAAAATTCGGCGTTTGACATATTCCTGAAGTAGTTCTTAAGACACTATATCACGATGCGACTCTTCGACGTGCTAAAGTTTAGGTCGGCGTGCAAAATGGCGGATTTTGTCGGCACCCGCCATGGTGTTCGAGTAACAACAATAAGGAGCAACAAGAAATATCCGAACAACAACTAGTGACGACACGACTGCAACTTTACGAGACCTGTACCTGTATATACTATTACTATTAATTATTCAATAATTTAAAAAAAAGTAATATAAGGAACTCTAATTTATGAACACCTTTATACATATATATATATATATATATGTGTATATATATGTATATATATATATGAATAAATATATATACTTATGTGTATATACATTCGTGTGTACACATAATATGCATATATGTACTTGCGTATATACGCATATACATGTGTACACATGGTCGTCGGTTAGTGGACGATAGACTGCGCTTTACGATAACTACTCGCGATATGATTTTTATTTAAGTAATTTATTGATGCATGTGTAAAAAAACGTTAAAGCTATCGACAATGCTTTTATTATACTCATACTTTACTATTCGCACATGTAGTTTCTTATCGTCTTTCACTTAGAATTCTTAAACAATAGATTTTTTATTTACAATATTGTGTTAATATTTATATTGAAATTTTATCGAAAATCCGTTTTCTCGATATGATAATGCATTAGTATAATGATATAAATGATATCTCATTCTTATCAGACAATCGTGGAATACACTGATAAAATAATCATATGTTAAATTGTGCTTCGAAATTTTTAATTGCGCACATTATTTCTGCATTTTTCAGCATTTACTTCTTAATTAAAATATATATTTATAACATTATCCAATTAGCTATCATATTAAAGCATGTTTTTTGTTTCACGGTGTTTTATTTAGTTTTCTCATTAATTAAAAAAGAATACATTTTGCAAATTAAATGTATGAACAAATCTTTTCCTGTTACGTGCATTTGATGAACATATAGTTCAATCAAAATTTAAAAGCAAGGAAGATAATTTGTTCATAGAAAAGTTATAGTAGGAAATCTAGTCAAAATGTTTTGAAAAAATTACGATACAATTGCGTACTTCGAATTCGAATTAATCTCGGTGGAAACGAGTTATTAAAGAATCATTTCGCGCACGTGAACAATCGATTCTTCGGTCACATCGTGCTTCCTGTACATAGCACAGAGAGTAAACACTAGAATTAACGAGTAATCGTCGAAGATGCTACTATCTTTCTTTCATCTTCCATTGATTTTAAAATGCAAATTCGGCGAATTTATACTTCCATTAATGCTAAGATAAGTCGAACTCTAGTTATCCTTGAGCGCAGCTTACCGTACGCAATGCGAGACAAATTATCTTTATCGAACGATGATTTCGGGGCTTCGTCATCGCGAGGGGATGAGACTTTATAAACGAAGAATAAGAATTTTTAAACGCGAGATTGAGCCCCCTTCCCGAGTCACCGTTCCATAACGATATCGATCTAAAGAACGTATCGCAGACTGATATACACACACGGCTATCCAGAGTCTGTGAAATTTTAAAGAGCCACGTGCATCGCGATACGATTCTGTGCAAAGCGAGCGAGTGAGGGAATGAATGAGAGAGCGAAAGAGAGAGTGAGAGAGAGAGAGAGAGAGGAGAGGGGGGGGAGAGGGAGAGAGAACAGGAGAAAGAGAAAAGAAGAGAGATAAAGGGAGAGAAAGAAAGTGAGAATGAAAGAATGAGCGATTTTTAAAAAAGCATGAGTGCGAAGTTAGAATACACTATTGTTCTCAATTTCGGCTTCCTTCGCAAGATCCTCCTCCAGATTTTGGTTCCGCAAAAATCCTACCCTCGTAACCGACACCACGCCGCGGCAATCTAAACCCAAAGAAATCCATCCTTAACCGAATCTTTCATCTTCCGGAATGTAGCTGAGGAAACGCGGCTCTTCCCGCTCCCCTTCCTTGAAAATACGCGGTAATCGCGCGTAAGTTTTTTGCGAAACTGAGGATCCTCGCGTTTCTCCATGCTCTTTCCCCATCCCTGAGTACCTACCGAGTACTATCCACCACCTGCCCGCAGGACACTGTCGAACGCACTCGAACGACGAGATTCTCCTCGACTGTCCCAGCAATCATTCTGTTTAACGAGCGTTCAAAACTCGACTCGCGGGACGAACGCGAAACGATGTAGCGTAGATTCGCAGGGCCTTTACACTGATTTGCTAATGTAACCCTTTAATAATCAGGCAACATAGACGACTCGCGGGCATTTTTTCCGAGATGCCGAGTGAAACATGATTCTATGTAATGGTGCTACGATGTAGCGTACGCTATACTAGCGACTGTTCCGCGACACGCGCAAAACGCTCCAGGAACTTCTACGAACCAGCGAAAGCGCGTTACATTTGCTATTTCGACATCCGGTCGTGATGTATAAGGAGTCCGCGTGCAGTATCATGCTGTAAAAAACGACACTAAGAACACGAGAAACGCAAGACGAAGTAAAAGCGACCTAGAAAAAAAAATATCAAGACTCGTTGTGCAATAATATCGCAATAAATTCTAATCTTCTTCCGTGACGATTAATGGTTCCCAGTGGCGTTCTTTATAGCGGGTGTCATTATGTACATTGCCCCGATTCCCTGCCTTGCCTGCATTTTGAGAGCACTATAATACGAATAACGAAGTAAAACAGAGCTAGAGGAGAAACCTAGACGCTTTAAGGTTTTGAATCGCGAGAGCTAATAGCGAGATGTTGAGAACGGGAGGAAAAAGCAGCACACAGGCGCAGCGCGTAGAGAGGCAGATGGTTGAAGACTATGTAAATACATAAGCTGAAAGTAGTAAAATCGTCGAGAGGAAATGACAAGCAAGGGCGAATAATCGCCTCGAGAACAAACAAGCAATATTTAGTTCTTATCATCTCCTTAATAATTAAATGATAACGATCCAACTGTACCGTGCATACGCGTGCACGCGTTCGTACGTATTTAAACGACTATAAATTAAATGTTAATTATCCTTACACTTCGTATATATATACATAGTGAAATTGTTACGCATTTATTATCATTATAATTATTGAATAGGTAATGCTCAATTAGCATTTGTTTCTTAAAATAAAAAATAAATATATGGCTGTTGGATATTTATATGCACATATGACTACCGCACCTTTACATCCTTATCCTGTAATCCTACATCACTAATGTTGGAACAACGGAAAAATTATATTTGATTACGACAATAATATATGAGAGGAAAAGAAAGACTGACATGGAAACAGACGTGGACTTGAACATGTGGATATGTGGACACGTGGATACGTGGAACCCATGGAAGCAATTGGTTTTCAGACTTTTATTGTAAATTGATCTACAATCACCATATCCTGATTCATCATTGTTTACATCGTCATCGCTATAAATAATAAAATGCCACAGCAACGCTGTTGTCACTTCATATATCCACAGTCACAATCTGCGAATTTGAGTCTGCCTCAAACTTTTCACAGGAATTTTAATTTCACGACAAACAAGACTGCTCAGTTTATGAGAAATTTCGCTAATTTAATCGTAAAAGTCAAATATTATCGACAAAACAATCATTCAGACTGACGTTTGCGGAAGAATAAAACGAACGATAGCTACCTAAATAATAAATTTTGCACTTGTATCGTCGATTTCTCCTAAACGGAGATGCAATACTTTTTTTTCAGTATACGTTGAGAGAATATACACATTCCTATAGTAATTAGAAAAATAAAACAATTTAACCTTATTAATGGAAACAATTAACTATAATGTACCACATGTGACTTATGCGGGTATGGACATTTGAGTATGTGGTCAGCTAACCAATTCCCTAAAAACAATACGAAAAACGGAACTTATCATCCACCTACATAGAATATATCGAACAATTATGCGGGATAGAACACAATTCTTACGTCAATGCGTTTTCGTATAACACATTAAAACGTGCCATTAAAATGCGAATGGTCTGACAAAAAGGCAGCAAAAATGAGATTTACATACCTTATCAAGGTATGGGACTGTCTGTTCCACTCCCACTGTTGGTCCCAGCTTCTGTTTTGGTAGCAGCTACACGATCACCTCGCTTGGATGTCTTCGATAACGACGCTACTTCTTTCAGTAAACTAGATATCTTGTGCTGCATGCTGGAGATCTTCGCCTCGTACTCCTTCTCCGACGCTTTCATTTTATTACGTAGCTCTGTTTCGGACGTAAAGTTCTTCGCCTTCAGTTCGGTAATCTGCAATAAGTTACGTGTTATTTGTTCCATTGTTCATTTCACATTGTTTACTTATTCCGGAAAATAACTTCCGAGAAATTTTTCACATACTTGTCTATCCTTTGCTAATAACTGGCTGTCCTTTATGCTGATTTGCTTTTGGAGATGCGCTATCTTCTCTTTAAGTTGTGTGACCGCAACTACGTGATCCGAGCTGTTTGGATCGTGTGGATCGTGTACGCCGGCCATTCGCGCTGCTTTGACAGGAGTGGGACCATTCGTATCTCCACCATCGGACTGCGGCGGCAGCTTCGTCACGTCAACTCTATGTGGTCTTTTATTGTGGCCTTTCAATCTACAAAAAGAAAAAAAAACGTAAATAAAATTTTCGTCAATGCAATCCGCAAAGTGCTTGTTAATCAAACCAAATAATCTCGTATGAAATATTTTTTTAAAAATTGTGATGTACGCACAATATTAAAGCTACTAGCACAAAGTTACCTTGTGACATTACGTATTTGAATAGTTACTTTTGTTCTTTATGCTTCGCGGCCCGCTGCTGTGCCAGTTTCATATGCGCTCTCCTCTCTGCATCTGATTGCTTTGTCTTTGCCAACGCTCGCTTATATGACAGTGTACAGAGCCAACATAATAACTTGCCATCTACCTAAAAACCGAAACATCACCGTAATCGATTTAGTATTATTATAGTGAGGTAGATTCATTACCATGTACCAACAAGAGAGAGGTCTTAGCTGTAGAAATTACACTTGATGCTTATTCGCTCTCTAAAAAAAGAAAAGAAGTCGTGACAGGAGGTCAAATGTATGAATTCAGAAAATATAAGTATTATAGCGGAATAGCGTACACAGCTACTCTCGATTATCTAGAATGATAAGAATAGCATTGTAAAGTTTGCGTAAAATTGCGTGTAAGAGAAAATATGTATATAAGCTTTACTAAAAAAAAAAAAAAGAAAGAAAGAAAAGATGTTCTTGTCCCATACATCATTAAATTTTTCAAAAGAGTATTTATCCATCTATATTCTTAGAAAAGCGGGAGTAAGTTGTGTTAATATATATGAAACATTAGGAAGAAGGGAATACATAAATCTCAATACAAGATTTTGTTTAAAGATAATTTCACCCGTGCACAGCTAGAGATCGTCTCCTCGTAACATATATATAACTGAACATAACATATACTGAGAGCGATAATTATATTGTATTACCTTTTTATCTTCATCCTGTCTATCAAAGGCACACTTCTGCTTGCATTGTTCACAAGTAACTGGCGGTCCATAGCGCTTCTCTGAATTTGTACACCGCTGACATTTGCTACCGATAAATGCAGCAATAGTATTGCAGTACTCACAAGCTGATGGCTTTCCATAGGCCTTTACGTTTTGCTCACATTTTTTACATATAGTGCTGGTGTTACCCTTTCTGTAAAATCAAACAAGTTAACTAGCAACTTTATTTTATCTCACAAACTATTTTTGTAAAAATAAAATAATTTTTTATACTTACATGGTCTGTTGAAATTCTGATCTGCAATATGTACATTTTACCACAGGAAACGCTCCTCTGCATTCCTATACAAACAACAGTTACATTGTTAATTATTTTTCTAACTGTCTATTTCATATTTTTTTTATTATAACATATTTTTAGCAGTTTTTATGATTTAATTGTGCATTTTTAAAACAATCTTGAAATAAAAAATTTTGATATTATTGTACAAAAATTCGTACAGCAAAGTATTTATTTTCAAATCATACATCTTGAATTTTAAAACATAATTAATATTTGCGTCATCGCAAGCAATTAACAATTACATATTCATTTCAGATACAATACATTTAAAAAATCGACAAATTATTTGTATTTGGGAGACAAGGATGCACGTTGTAGTTCTGAGTCACGCTTAAAAAATTTTCTTTTATCATTAGTTATATATAAATACAATGTTTATATACACACACATTTTATCTTCCAATGTCATGAAAAACTTTATCGATACTCCTAGAAGATAAAGATCATTTTTTTTCTCTTAGCGTATAACTCGTTATTCTATTGTATCTTATTATGCAGCGATTTTAATTCGCATCGCAGTAAAAAAATCGCGTACCTTCTCAATATTACGATGAAACAAATTCGTCCCAACATTACGTCGTAAAAAGCGACGCGTTCGAAGAATTCGCGAAATGATTATAAACATACTGCGATATATACCTTGCACAGCTGTTGTCCAGGTGAAAGATCCTCGAAAGGATGTCTGGAGAAACACCGGGAGCATGCGAAGAGTGCCTGAATATTGTTCGTGCTCATCCTTGATGACTCCTTCGCGCTCGGCGTTTGTTGAATACGTCAACGAGATGAGCGAAGGGAGAGGCGTGATGTCGAAGAAGTGAAAAAGTAGAAAAGCTGCATACGATTATTGTTCTACAAAACGGCAACGAAAAGGAACGTAAAAATGGACGATGACAATACGGAAACACGATTGTTCCAATCGCGATTTTAGTTTGCCGGAACCGGTTGTTGACTTTCACGTAGCCATCTGTGACTGATGCGATAGACAAACATGGCCGTCAGTGAAAGTGGCCGTTCGAGGACGCTACCACCGCTTGTGCCAATATTTAACTTAACGTCCCAAAACGCATTAATTGTGCGCAAAAATTTTTAACATCTTTATTGATGAGTTTTAGAACACGCCAGAGTCAGTTGACCGTGATTTTACAAAATATGAAATATGTTATTGAAAATTGTCGTCAAAACATTTGTGAATTTTCTGTTTCTGTTTTTCTGTTTTGTGCGAACAGTTGTAATATAATCGAATATAACCAATGATCCGAGATAGCACACGTCGCTTCATATACGTTTCCTAAACGTATTCAATGTATTCATATACATTTAGGAAATGTGTTATCTGCTATCAATCTATCCTTTTGTCACGTTTGAAGATTGTTTAAACATCGACAAAAAAAATTCAAATAAATATAACCTTTATTAAAAATATCAATAATCAGTTTTTTTGCTTCAATATATTACTTTATTTTGCTCATTTACTTATGCATCATTTACTTCGATACATGTTCAAGAATGTATACCGAACCTATAAATTCAAGAAGTTCGAGTTGGTCCGAACAGAAAATAAGAACTGCTCGAATTGTTTGATCGCCGCAAACTCTGAACGCTATTTTAAATTGCTTACCTTAGAATATATTTATCTTGGAATCTTTTTCCAGATTATGTGGCATTCAGTTAATCAGAGTAACACCAAATGACTTGTGACTTGTAGAATCGTTCGCACATGTTCAAATAACACAATTATTTTTGGTATAAACCTTGAGGACGGTTGAGAATCGGTCGGTAATTCGTCAATACTCGAATCACTTCTCACTTGATAACAATGAAAAACGATGTTATCCACGGCTGCTCATCTCCAATACATTATCTCTTCGTTGGTCGCTCCACACGGCTGCCGAAGCTAATGGAATCTTTACGGAGCTTCGGAATCCGTTACGTGGTATTGTCGCGTCGCGCTTTTGTCCAGCGTTATCGCGGGGAGGCGACACCGGGGAGTCGTGGTCGCGCGTGGTCTCTAATTTCACGAAGACGCTTCCAACGAAAATGACGTCCCGTCACGAGAAGGAGCGTGCTAAGCAGATACAGGAGAAATGTCAGAACTTGCTGACGCAAATGCTTCGCGACGAGGATAACAAGTACTGCGTGGACTGCGATGCGAAAGGTTCGTCTAACGACAGCAAGATACTACACCTCTATGGATGCTATGTCATTCCCTTCATCGTCGTTCTTTAATACATATTGAGCGCTTTATATTGTATTATTCGTATTTTAGCGTTTTTGCCCTCTCAGAGTCAGCTCATCGATATCGATCATGAAACGACCTAGTTCCATAGCGTGCCGAGGCATTATGGATTTGTAATTTCCGCTTGACATGCTGTCAGCGCGCTGTCACGCATAACGTCATCAGTTTTCCTAATTTTACATTGATCGTACAGGCTCGGTCTTTAATTTGCAAATTAATAAACATTTAATTTTAGTAAAAAAAAATTTTTTTATATGGCTTATCTTATCACATATTCAAAACTCATCATTAATAGTCATAAATATTACATATAAATAACTCAGTCTGTGATGACAGGATGTATGATAATTATTTATCATTACATTTGCATTTATTTTCCAAATAGACTCTATATATTGAGAGATAACATAATTATTTATGATATTCTTAATAAATTTGCATTGTATAGGACCAAGATGGGCTAGCTGGAACTTGGGAATTTTCTTGTGTATTCGATGTGCTGGTATACATAGAAATCTTGGAGTGCACATAAGCAAAGTCAAGTCTGTTAATTTAGACACATGGACGCCAGAACAAGTAGTGGTATGCAATACAAATATAATTCAAAGTATCTCAATAAAAAAAAATAATTTTGCTTAAAGTTTGCTCAAAGTTTTGTATTATAAAATATCTAAAAATATAAACTTTTTATAAATCTTATTATAAAATACAATTATTTTTATAGAAAGATTAAATCTAAATCAATCTCTCTCTAAATAATTTTTAAAAACAGTGGATTTTCCATAGCAATTTAAATTTCTATTTTTATAATATAAAATTATATCCAGATTATTTTTTCTTGCTTGCTTAAGCTTTATGTTTTATACTTTTTTAAATATACAAGTTGTATTTTATAAAGAAATAAATACTTTATACAGAAACTTATATTTTATTATTTTTATTTGCTATAATTATCATATAATTTTTTATAATTTATGCAATAATACATTAAGATTCAATATTCTGATTATATAAGAAACAATTATATTAAAACTTTTAGAGCTTACAACAAATGGGCAATTCTCGAGCTAGAGCAGTCTATGAAGCAAATCTTCCAGATAGTTTTCGAAGACCACAAACAGACTGTAGTCTTGAAAGTTTTATTCGTGCAAAATATGAACATAAGAAATATATAGCCAGGGAATGGGTGCCTCCTCCTCTACCAAAAGTATGATCATTACATTAAAATCTTTTTTAGTATTAATTTCTTAGCATTTTTAATGTTGATTAATGTATAAACATGTACATATGTAGAAGAATTTGATGATGTTAATAATATATTTTTATATAGGTTAATTGGGACAAAGAGCTTGACGAAGAAGCCGAGAGACAACGCAGACGAAAAAAAGAGAATTCCGAAGCTGTGGCTGCTGTACTCCCACCTGTAAAAAAACCTGAAGTAGTGCCTCAATTGCCAAAACCACGAAGTTCCGTCAGTCCTAAACTGAGTAGAACAAAAGAAAGTTCGGCAATTTTAGATCTTTTAGGTCTTGGTAAGTTTCTCATTACGCATATAATTTATGTACAGCTTTTTTACAATACATTGTCATTAACAGATGCACCGGCAACTAACCAAACAAGTGTAAATGGTTCTGGGGACGATGTATTTTCCTCTTTTTTATCCGCACCACCTGCTTCAACGACTTCAACTGGAAATGATACTAATGGAAGCAAAGCGATCACTACTACGAGTAAAAGCGAGGAGGAAAGCTTCTTTGACCAACCAACCCCATTACCTCAGGAAAAAAGCAAGATGACAAAAGACAGTATTTTAGCATTGTATGGTACACCGAGTCATCAACCAGCGATGTATGGCGTTCCAGGTAACAGACATTTACAATGAAAATTATAAATTGATAGAATTATATAACCACTATTCTAATTTATGTGTTGTAAATTTTTCAGGAGGAGTATATTCTCAGCACTCTATTCCATATAAACAGCAAGTACCAAATGTTGGTACATTTGGACAACAAAATTCCTTGAGCCAACTCGGCCAAATTCCTACGCAAATACAAGTTACAAATCAATTACAGTCTGTCAATCAAAATCAAATTATGGCAAATCCTAATTCGATAGGCGCTGTACCAGCCAATCCTTTAGGCTTACACGTAGGACAAATGAATCAACTAAACGGTATACCAAATGCTGCTATTACAATGCCACCTCAAATGGTATGTAAAGGTTTTTTGTATAACTTTATTAAATAATCATATTAATAATTATCTTGACATCGTCTCTTTATCTCTTTTTTGTAGATTTAAAATTTTTTATTTTTTATTTCACAGATGATGCAATTAGGACAAAATAATATTCCTAGTAATAATGGATGGAGTGGTATGTTAACACAGAATCTACAGCCAGCTCCTGGAAACAATCCCTTCTTCAACTTAACAGCGCAGCAACAACAAACTGCTGCCTTTGGTACTCAAGTATGTAAATTTTAACGTTTTAATATAGTTTTATGAAATAGACATCCACATGTGTATTAGATATGAATATAAGTTAACTAATTTTTATCTATGTACTTTTGCAGTACTACTATCACATTAAATTAAATTTAAAATTGATGTTATTTTTATACTATAATTATATCATACTTTTATACTACAATTTGTAACAATTTTCAGTTGCCGCAACAAATGTCGCAAATGTCTCTGGGTGATATGAACTTTGCCGCTGCAACGGGCAAACCTGCCACTGCCGCGTTACCCGGGCAAACTCTTTCCACCAACTTATGGCAGTAAAAGATATTATGGATATTGTTAGCCTGTTGATTATCTCATTCAGTATTGTATATTAGCGTCGGCAGTTTATAATCCAACGTAATAACGTTTCTATGCCGTTCTGTTGAGCGTCGCTTGAGGAAGTAATAAAATTGGTGATGGTGACACCAAAAAATGAAAAGAAAGAAAAATTACTTGAATGTTGAAGCATAGAAATAATAAATGTTTCGAATCTGTTTCGTGAAACAGAATCTGTGAATGTGTATAGTGCTTCGAATTGGTAAATATTTTTCTTCGGAAGTCTTTATCGGCTTTCAACGTTATTGTTGAAGAATAAACAAGAATAATAATAAAAATAACACATCTTTGACTGATTGTAAGGAATTATTTGTGACATTAAATACGTACTTTATGGTACACATTATGTTGTTACAATATGAGCTTTTTGTAATTGCAATTGATGTATGTACCAGGGTCCATTTTCAACGTAATAAAATGTTTATTGAGGTCAGTAACGGAAAACGGTATAATTTTGGTTATCTCAGGTTTCGTTGCTATAAATTCTATGTGGAAATGTGTTCACAAATTTATTCGTGAAAATGGAAGTCCTACAATTAAAGTACATTTTCTCATATCTTCTCATATTTTCTCATATAATAGCATCGAAAATTGAATTTGTTGAAATTATATCAATTTCAAATACTGATACAAAGAGATATCTACATGCTACTACAAATTTCGTCAAAGATGTAAAGAGACTTAAATCTTCAACACTTATTTTTAAGGTACTATAACCGACACGTGCAATATGTGTCCACATTTATTCTGTATTATTGGTGAATAAATGCAAGATAATACAAATGCGAGATGTAACGCATTCTATTTGAGTAAGATATGAAATATTACTGTTGTGACAATGATTAAAATAGTTCAGCAATTGATTAATAGCAGTATCTGTAAACTGTAAGAAAAATCTACGAATCACGCATTGGTGCTAAGAGTTTTAAAGCATTTAGTTGACATCTAATAAAACAGTAATGTATTGGTGATGTTGGCCTTGTATACATTGTGTTTTTTTGAACAAAAATTTTTGAGAAGATACTATGCTATTGCAGGAATGCAGATTGATTCTTTTATATATCTATGTGTAGACTTAATGTTTCTTTTAAATTAATAATGATGTTTTAATATAATTAGATTGTATTATCTTATTTATATTATTTTTGTCTACAACTCATCTGAAAAAATCAATTGCAGACAACAGTTTTTATTAATGTATTGCATATATAAATTCATTTAATTAAAAGGTACTACTACTTAGATGTAATCACAACTGGTCTTTCAAGATACCGACAATGCTAGTTTTTTATACAGACAGTCTAAATATGTGCACATTTTCTCAGTTATAGTTTCTACACAGAATTAATGGTCATTTAAAATAACTTAAGAATGCAAATGAGAGGATACTCTTGTTCTTTATGGTTTTACTAATAAAATTAAATTAATGTAAAGTTTAATTTTACTGATATGTATAAGTACAAATCTAAACTTTCCAAGAAATCTATAACTGGGAAAAAATGCACAGTACATAAGACACTGTATATATATATACAGCGAAATGCGGTATTTTTTTGGCCAAGTATTTCCATTAAAATCCAGATAAATCACGCTATGTGATTACTGATAATCAATAGAAATTATAGTAAAAGAGACTTAACAAAGCTCATCTTAACTGTTGCCTACAGTATCCAACTGTTATTTATATGAATTATTATAAGTGATTATAAAATAGTGTACTTGTGTGCATTTAAATATAACTACATTTTATTGTAAATTGATTTTTATTATTGATTATTTGCGAGAATATTAAAGTAAGTAAAATTTGGGGCATTAAGAGACATGTTTAAAAAAAAAACTTGTCAAACTTGATAATGACTTATGGAGATTGTTACTGGCATATTTTTTTCATCTATCTTATGTATTAAATTTTTTAACTATGGGATTATTACAATATTTTGATACTATTATAACATGGAAATATTAAATTAAAAAGATTCATACAGCATTTTAAGATAACATTTAACAAATTTTCTTTTAATCTGTTTGAAGTAATGTTGTGTAATATGTGTTGTACTTGTTATATATTAAATTTCGATATATTGTAAGAAAATATGTACAAATACATGTTATTCATGAAAAAAAGCAATAGAAATACATATTCTTTACAGCTCCAAATTGTGTTTAAGTTCATTCAACAGTTGTACAACTGTTGCGCTTTTCAAATTGACAGTAGCGACTTACCGGAACTCGAACGGAGAATCGTGTAATTAATCTGTTTTTACACATCCTCTCACATCCTCTTTCCATTTGCGCTAGATACTCTTTTCAAGTCGCAAGCCACGTGAGAGACAATTATTATGGACAAACCAGTCGTTTTAGCACGTGTTATTAAAGTCCTGGGTCGCACTGGCTCCCAGGGACAATGTACCCAGGTGAAGGTAGAATTTCTGGGCGAACAAAACCGGCAGATCATAAGGAACGTGAAAGGACCGGTACGGGAAGGCGATCTCCTAACCTTGCTCGAGTCCGAACGTGAGGCGAGAAGGCTTCGATAATGCATCAGCTTTAATTAACATCGAAAAACGGTCACCAGCTGTCGTCATCGGACTTCATCAGCTATGGATTTTCTATCTGGATCATTCCACACCACGGACAATTGTGGATAATGGATATCGACACGGTTTGAGAAGATACTGCTGATCGCGAAACGAGAACATGTTCTGTTCTTGGAAACATTCCTGTCACACAAGAATTCCACTACTTTTGCAATAAATCTCGGCTGGTTACCACAAATTCACAGTGTCATTATTGTATTTTTCCTTATATTCATTATGATCGTAATTTATAAAATTTAGTAGTAAACTATAACACGTGAGCGCTTATAACCTTGTCAGTGCTGTGATGAATCAGTTTGCTTTGGTTTCTTATATTTATTTATTTCTCTTCTTTAAATGTATGTATATATATATATATTATAGCTGCACAAATTTTCGGTGTCTAAAACGAGAAAAATATATTTTGGTCTAAAGAGAAAAACAAAAATTGATTTAATATTGTAGCAAGTAAAAGGCTGTATTGAAATTTGAATTTTACTTTTATTCTGAAAAAATAGGAAAATGTTCTATTCATTGTTTTAAATGCTATAAATAAGGAGATTGTTAGCAATATTAAACATATTTATGGATATTTATAAAAATGCATTGATGTATTTACAGTGTTGATGTACGATTTTTTTTATAAAAGTTCTTTTTATATATCTAAAATTTTAAAAGAATGTGATGATACATTGTAATAGTTTCGTATATACTTAATTATGTAATGTACGAATTGCAACATGAACAATGTTTCATTTACAACAACTGTTATATTCTTCTTCGTTTTGGTGGAGGTGTGTCACGTGGACTGGAAGTTTTAGAAGAACTGTCCATGCTTTGTCTTGTTGGCCTCTTAGGAATTCTTTTTAAAAGTTCACGACCAGATTCGGAATCCTTACGTTCCTTCTTTCCATTTGATGCTTAAAAAAATATATAAATATGATTTATGATTTATCAATATAGATCATTAAAAAATTAAGATTAAGATATCAATCAATTAATCGATTATAATCAACATATGTTGAAAGAATAAAATGTATGTATACCACTCTCTTCCGAATCGTCTTTCCCTTTTGACCGTCCTTTCAAAGATTTATGTTCCTTTTTCACATCTTTTACATCCCTAAACTTTTCCTTCTTTAATTCTATCTCTTTCGTGTATTTCTTTATCTCCTCTTTTTTCTTTTCCATATCTTTATTTCCTTTAAATTCACGTAGCATGCTATCTTTCTTTGAACTTTCTTTAATATCCTTTTCTTTCTTAATTTCTTTGTATTTATATTGATCCTTTAGTTTTATTTCTAATTCTTCCTTCCTTCGTGGCTTTCCTACAAATTCTGTTTCTGGTAGACAAAATTCTATTTCTTGACTGGGAAATGGTAAGTCTTCCATGTCATCCTGTTAAATATATTTCATATATGTAAAAAAATAATAAAAATTATTTTAGTTTCAAAAATTTTAGTAATAACATATTTACTAACACACATCTTACTTTAGAGATATTTAGATTTTATTATAAAAATGATATATAATTAAATAAAAAAATCTATAGATTAGTTTCTTAAACATTTATATTCTTATTTCTTATTTCTTTAATGTTCTTACCAAAGCCATAAGGTCGTACATCGACTCCAAGTGATCCCAAATCATTTTCAGTGAAATATCCTTATGAACAGCAGCACGAAATTTTTCTGCTATGCACACCATGTGAAAATATTTATTAATACCTGAAAAATAATTAAATTGTAGTTGAAGCGATAATTTATAAATCATCGAGATAGTAAATATAACCTCAAATCATTATGCCGGCTTTCACATCTTACCAACTGGCTTGTGTCCATTCATAGCAAAGAAAAGTTGAATCTCGTTATCCACGTTCCATTCTACTTCGTCAAATAAGTTTTCCTGTTTTTCTTTGACAGCCATTTTATATTAAATCAGTCATTTATTCGTATACCAAGTTAACCCAACTGAGAAATGAGTGAAATATACGATGTACTATGAATGTATTTCGTATATTGCATTAGCAATATTTGTCATTATATTTATTAAAATACATTGCGCGAAAAATTATAATGATCACGATTTGATGTAATTTTATATTTCACGCTTTGATGTATAAATTTCGTTTATATTAGCAATGCTTTACTTTGGCTTCACTACACTTCCGCTGTACCACGCTATACTTATGTTAGCTGTATTCAGTGATGCCATTTCGAGCTCCGAGCTCCATACGCACACAGCGAAAAACAGCGTAAATGTACTGCGCAAAGCGTTCTGTTTGAAAATTTTTTACAATTGTATCAAATTCATATATTTTTCAAATGGACAACACTTGTAATACCCTTTGGTTAATGAATTGAAATTTCCAAATCTCAATCTCATTCCCGTCTCAACGAGACACATCGACGTAGGTACTCGGTTTCAAACGAAAAATGGTGGCGACCCATAACCCCCAACACCCCAAATTATTTTCAAAAATTTAGGAATTTCGAAGAACCGCCTGGAGGGATTGAAAGATCTTTCGATACCCTGATTATTTTTATGGTAAATTAATTTTAGTACTTTAATTCAATTACATTTCTTTTTGTCTTCATATTTTAAAATTTAAATTACCAAATTTAATTTACCATAAAAGTAATTCGAATATTGATAATATATGCTTTCGGTACATATTTATGCAAATACTCTTTCTGTAAAATAAAATTAATAAAAACGGAAAGACGTTCTTTTGTGAGCAATACATCATTATTCTCTTTGATGCGAACTAGTTCTTCTATTTCTGTGGATGTCCTTAATAAAATCATGCAAATGACCAAAAAAATTCAACAAAAGTTTTATAAATTAACTATTTCTATTTTTTTAAACTAGTACAATACAAGCGCGCGCTACGCGCGCGCACTTATTATTATAATTTAATAATTATAAAATCTAAATATTTAAAAAAATTTTTTAATTTTAAATAACCGCCAAAATAACTTTTGCTCTTAAACTATCAAACTGCCAGAATAATCAAGATAACCAATCAGCGTCGCGATAAAACTGCAACAATACACTTCGATACTTTCGAGATTTCGATACATTCGACTATCGACTTCTCATGCCTTTTTTAAGAGTAGATTTATTTAATTTTTTCATTTGTTTCTCTCTTTTGTTATCTTAAATATAAAATATCATCTAAGCCCTATATAAAATTTTTTGCCTAGCCATATTTATATAGATATTAAATTATCTTTGTTATTTTTTAATAAAATACGCCTATTGGGGAAACCACTTTTTAAAAAACGCGTTCACAATTGTATCTCAGAGGTAATGTGAAAAGCTATTAATTTCTAATTAAAAAACCATACAATTTTTATTAAAAAGTTAAATTTTTTAATAATTTGATTTATTTTAATTATTTTTATTTTTTAAATATTATATATTATTGTCTAGGTAAATTATTATAATGAATGTAATAAAGATATTTAATTATAATTAGTGAAAATAAATATTATTTTTATAACAAAGAAAATTTTATTTTCCGAAAGGTGCCCGCTCATCATCAGCCTATTTGTTACACAGACGCTCCTGAGTCAAGGCTATCGGCGGCCCGGCCGCCAGCGGCCGCGCGTTAGCGAGAGAGCGGGAGGCGTCGTCTCAAGAATCGAGCCGAAATGTGCAACTAACGCCGAGCTTTGAATTAATCAATATAAATATAAAATTTTTTTTTGCTTTATTTCATAAAATACATAAGATACATTTGATCTTACATATAAATATAAACTAAAATCTAATGATGAATGCTTAATGCATCGCTTTGGACTTCATGGCTCAATTGTGTCTGCAAATTCGACAATTTATTTTTCAATGCTGCAATTCCCATCATGACAATATTTTCAGGTTTTAAGGCGCCACTGCTTTCCACATTAAAATAATACTTATTTGGTTTGGCTTCCCAATTAAATGGTGCTTCATCTAAAACATGATGTGTATAATAAACTAGTAATTAAAAAAAATTGTAGATAAATATTATACTCACATTGATCCTCTTCTAATTCACTATATTCTGACTTGGGCCATTCATCTGGTTTAGGAAATAAAGTATGCCTCATAGAATTATCTGGATCATATTCAAAACTTACACCTGCAGTTGGATTCCATTTTGCATGTTCCTTTCCAAAACCTTTCTTTGCATATGCTCTAAGTTTTAATTCTTGTCCTTTTCTTAGCTTTACTATCAATATCTCTAAAGGATTTTGTAAAATTGTTATATTTTTCATTTAAAATAACTATACATATTATATAAAATAAAATACAAACCATCTGTCTCTCCATATTCGCTTGCATCATCTTCCCGATGTCTAGAAGTAACAGGCAATACTCTAGGATCACTTGATTTAAAATCCGCAGTGGTTACATGCCTGGTTTGATCTTCGATACATTTAACATCTAAAGTAAATTCTACACTACATTCTGGACAAAAATCCATGCATTGACAATCTCTTGTATACTGTATTCTGTCAACCACCTAAACAAGAAAATATTTCTTTATTTGAATAAAGATACCTTATTGCCTTATAACTTCATAATTAAAAACTTTGTTACTAATTTCCATTGATGATATTTAATATTCAATAATTCCATTGATGATATTGTTGATATTTAATTTAGTAAAATGTTTTCTTCTTCAATTAAACATGCCACAAACATTATTCATCTTTCCATATTATAAAAAACTATTTTAAGTTTTAATAAAAAAATATTGTATAAAGAAATAGATATCAAATATATTTTACATACATCATCACTGATCAAAGGTATCATTCCAATCCTGTGTGCTAAGAATTCATCGCTTAAAACAGTAGAATTGGCTTCCAGTTGTATCCAATCGATGGCCATAGTCGGAGTTTCAGCGATAAAGACACGCCTCATACTATTTGCAACACTGAAAAAAAACATTAATTATAAACTAATCGAAATTTTCTTGAATTAATCTTGATTTTATTAACCTTAACTCACCTTAATTCCGTATCTTCGACTTGAAATTTAACATTTTCCTCAGTTAAATCTGAGATATGAACGGATGGCTGATTAGCGTACGGCATCTTATTTTATCAAATATCACAATTAACTTTTTTAAAACAAAATTGTTTCCTCTCGTGTACTAAACAAGTGAACAATAGCGTCTTCTTGTATTTTCTGCATTATTATTATTATGGTGTTTGCACTGGATAGGTTGGACATCCTGTTCTATTGCATTAAGCTTTGTTTGTGAGATAGTCCGAAGTTTATTAAGGGTCTATCCAGACAACTTTGCATAGATGCATATGCTTATGCATAAGCAAATGGATTGGTTCATGAGAAAATGCATAAGGAAATGGACCAATCCAATTTTCTTATGCATATGTTTATGCGATTATGCAAGTTTGTCTGGATAGAACCTAAGGCCGAATTCCTACTGAGCGCGTCACGCGTTGCGTTATCCGCCGCGTCACGAATTAACCAATCAAAACATCCCATTTTATTGCATTATTTGCCGCGCGAATAAAATGGGATGTTTTGATTGGTTAATTTGTGACGCGACGGATGACGCCGCGCGTGACGCGCTCAGGGAGAATTCGGCCTTACAGTACTAAAAATATTAAATGTCGTATAAAAAATGTATGCGTTATGTAAATAAACGCATATATTATATAAATTTTTAAAATTGATAGTGAATAATTAAAATGCAGCCTAAGAATGGAAGAAAGAAAGAGAAAAAGTTACAAAAACAGACTTAATATTGAACAAACCTATTTCAACGCGCCACTTTCGCGGCACCATGACAGTTTTTTTATACAACAGTTTAGAACACGAAGCGCGAATCTTCTACGAAAATTATCCGTATGTTTTCATATGTATTAAAGCATAACAATGACGAATTTTTATTGGGAGTGTCGATTAAAGTGACGGGCGATTCTAAGAATGTGTTATTTGTTGTAGGTATTCGCGATTAACGGCGTTTCGCTAATTGTAGTTCGTTAATCGTGTATCGAGTTCATACTCGGATGAATACGGATATGTTGATACAAAGTATTTTTTCTTGCATTTCGTATACCGCAAATTCGCGACATGAATTCGTGATTTTCACAAAAAGAATGAAGTGTGTAGTTGTATTTTTGTTAGGTTGTGCGTATAATTAAGTGCGAATATTCACCGATAAAGTTTCCTCAGATTCTCCAATCGAGCTGATGCAAACTATAAATATTTTAGCTGGTAAATATACAATTATTTGTTCATTATTTAAATATATATATATATAATTGTGATAACAAATTGCAGTTTGTACTTATTAAATATCTATTCAGATGTTCAAAAATATTTATTAAGACACTTACCATTTATTTATTAAAATTATTGAATAATTATTTATGCAATTTATTGCATATATTTATCTTTCAACCAAGATAGAATTAATTAAATGATAAATATAATGCTCTATAAAATATAGTAATAGTAATATATAATAACTAATATATGTATTTAATTTTTTTTAGGTATAGTCTGAGATATAGCTGACAATGAGATGTAATAATCGGTGAGTACCTTCATTCTACTTGTGTAATTATTTTGGTCGTTATTTAGATATGTACATAATTGCCATAACATTCACAATTATAATCTTATACATATATATTTAATTTTTTTAAATACATATAAATTTTATAGAAATAATTCTTTCAAAATAAACTGACATAACATGACATTGACATGGAATTAAAACATAATCATTAAACAAATATTATCAATAAAAAAATATATCATATGCTATTAAAAATTTAACAAAAAAAGCACCTAGAATTATTAAAATAATTTATTAAAAATCACTTGCACATTATTTGTTGAAGATTTATTTTCTATAAATAATTTATGCAATCATAAAAGAAATACAAGTTGTTTAATATCAACTACAAAAATTATCTTATAAACTCAAGAAAATTGTGCTTTATATGCAATATGCATACAATAATATTTACAATTTAATAATGACACCTATAGCAATTAAACTTAATGACTCTATTCACACTTGCAATGAGAAATATGATTTTTGTTCTAATCTATTTTCTTTCTCCGTTTTTTATTATGGCACTCATGTTTGGTAAAAATTGGAAGACAATATTTTGTGTAGCGCAACACTTTGAAAATTATTGTGAATGCATACATATGAATGTATATAGGTGAATGTAACTATTTATATGAATGTGCAAATCTCATTAATCTTTTGCATCTTAATACAAATTTGTCGTTAAGATTATATAAATAGACTAAAATAGATAAAAGCTGAAAAAGGGGTGCATTGAAAAATATACTGCTTAAAACAATGAATGGAATAATTTTTTCAATAGATATATAATATAATAAATTTTTGATTGTGAATATTTCTCTTAATAATAATCTCAGCACATGTTAAAACATTTGGAACACAATATTTTAGTCGCTTAAGCACACAAATTGGATCCATTTTTTGTTTTATCAATTTAAAGTTCTTTGAAGAAACTTTGGCTCCATTATTGTTTTGAGTAGTGTATTAATAATACTTTCAGTCACGCAAAACTTTGGTGAACATTATGAAACATATATTATCACGAGCTCGGCCAATGATTCTCAGAGTTCGTCACTGAAACGCTCAATGTCTTGTAAATGATCACCATAATCTGTAGCTTCGCTACCTACAAAAATATCGTGATGATCCAAAATCTCATTGAATGATAATCTGTTATCATGGTCGTCATCGGAACTCGCAAATAAGTGATCTACTTCATCACTTGCTATTTCTCTGAAATAAACATTCATAAAATATATGAAATAACAGCAATATCAAAAATACGAACAAAGTAAAATTTATAATACAAAATTGATTTAAATTCTTGGCACATTGTTATTATGAAATTTCAGTAAAGCTTATATTATTACAAAATAAGCACAAATACTAATAGAAAATTTTTTTAACATTACAAATTTCTTTAAATTTACAATGAAAGATTATTTGAGATAATGAGAACTTCTAATCTAAAATTTAAAGATAATTTATATTGCATTAGATTTTATAACATTGCATGTAATCTAGCATACTTACTCATTACTTGGTACAAGCCAAGAAAGAATTTCATCTGAATCAAGTCTACCATCTCCATTTTTGTCATGTTCATAGTCAAATTTCTCCTTTTCTGACAGTAACCATTCTTTATCTTTTGACCTAGCTCTGTCACCAATGAACTCTTGGAAACTAATGTGTCCATCTCTATCTGTATCTTTGTCTTCCAAAGCTTGTTTTAACAAAAGTGGAAACATTCTGGGTGTCTCCTCAGGATGAGTGTAAGCTTTGAACTCGTCTGTATCTAAATAACCATCTTTATTTAAATCGGCAGCATCAAATGTTTGTTTGTCGTTTTGAACCAAGTTGTCATCAAGAGCTAGATCTTCAGGATCACTGCCATATGTATCTTGCAGGACTTCATCCCAAGTCACTTTGCTATCTTCGTCTATATCAGCATCTTCTAAGCGGTCTTGAGATTCCTCTGCAGACAGCATGCTGTATGCAAAATTTAATTGATGTAGTATCCCTTCCATTGCAAACAAGTGCATAACAAAGATATTTATAGATTACAACAGTCACGTACCTAAATGAACGCAAGATCCAAGCTTTTAGCTCATTCCTTTCTATATATTTGTCATTGTTCAAATCCATCTTGGTCAATAAAACCCCTAATCTTCTTTTGGATTCTTCTATTGGAAGTTTGTCAAATTCTTCTGCTTCTTTTACGCTTCCTTTATATAAAAAATATTATTAAGATAAAAAATTTAGTAAATTAGATATAACAATTGAAAGATGAATAAAGTTCCAATAAGACAGAAAGATAAATATGGAATAAAATAATTAAAGTTTTAATTATTTATAAATATGAAACTAAGATAAATGTAATCATGTTATAAGATATGAGGAAAATTCTCCCCAAAAGAGAATATTTACAAGGATAAAGAAATGTACAAGAAATGTACAAGAAGTATACGTATCGAGAGAAGTTTAAAATATTTTAAAAAATATTTTAAAAAATTTGCTATATCTTGTTATCCCTTCATACCTAGGATAGCTTCATGATCAAATTCTTGATGATGTTCTCCTTCCACGTAGTGGTCAGCGTCACGAGGGCTGAATGCTCCATCCTGCATCCTTTCATTGTTTTCAATCTTACTGTGTTGATGTGTGTGGATATGAGCAGAGGCGGCTTGAGAAACCGGTAGCGAAGCGGCGAAAGCAATGATGAACAGAACTACGTGTGTTCGGACAGCCATTGCACGAATTTCGAGTGTGGCTGAAAGACTGAAAATAATGCAAACTTATGAGCACCGACAATGCATAACCTTGTTCTGCCGAATAGGGACAGATTTTGACAGCCGCTACACGGCGCTGCGCTGATCAACTGTTCACTAGTGTTCGGCGCTTACCCTTATAACGGATATTATCGATTACTTTCCATTACGCATGACACCGCGATCTCACAAGAAATTTTTCATAGATACTTTACGTTCTAATTGCTTCTAAAGCGGCATTAACGAGAAGCGTGTGTAAAATGTTGGGATGGATTATTTATGCTTTGTAAATTAAAACATTAAAATATATTCTAAAATAAAATATGAAATATAGAAGAATAATTTTAAAAGACTATATTGGTTAGAATTATTTGAGTTTTATTTGCTTTATAAAATAGGTTATTTTTACTTAACGTACTCTCTTGACATTTAATAAATAATGAAAGAAAATAAAAAAGAATTTTATTTGCGCATATTTATAAAAAAGTAATGAACAGATATTGTTAACGATACAGAGAAAGAAATAAATAAGAAATTGAATATTTCGTACTTTCAAATGTGGCGCGCACGCTTGCGTATGATGATTGGTCTTCTCAAATAAGCTGAATGTATTTCTTTTCGCGCGAAATTGTTGGTAATTGTCTGATATTTGTTACGTTTTCACGATGATGAATTCATACGTAATGGCCGTTTGGAACAGTCTGGATTGAATTTGCGTCGCGCGACTCAAAGTGTTGTGTAAAACATCTCGCCATGTATCGAATGTATCTCTTTGCACAAAGTTATTATTGTTGAGCACGTTGTATCGTAAACGAAACGCTTTGAATTGTTTGTCTGTATATTCGCACGAGTCAGTTTCTCTCACGTCAATTGAACTCACGTCGCGTACTGACTCGATTTGAAGAGTCTCGTAGCGTATCGACAATGAAAAGAAGCAGCCTAACGTCGTACAGGCGCTTCTTTAGTCGCGACGTATGTGCGGAGTCACGATTCCGTCGTCCGGGAGTGCCGAGTGATCGTCGTTCGAAAATAGTTGGTAGTTATTGCGAAGTATCGTCGCGTCTATTTTCAACCGCACGCGCACAACGCGCCGGTTGATTCTTTCAAGCGCGTAAGTCGAAAGTTTCTTTATTTACAACACGGATCGATAACGGCAATCGAGTGGAATTCTATGGGGGGCGGTGAGTTTTCTCCAGCATTTTACGGTTGCTTGAGGCGGTATTCATCGTGTGAATTACTTGGTGAGTGCTACTCAATTTTGCTTTCTTTTAATTGAATTTATTTGAATGCTATGATATTTGTGATGTTGTAAGGTGGCAATAAAAGATAAGATAAAAAATAATATGTTATTTGAATTCTATGTTAAAATGAGTATAAAATTTATTGATCTAAAGATGACGACTGTAAAGAAATTTGCGAAAATTACAGTATCACAAATGCAAATAGCGTATGAATTGCTTGTCGGTAATGAACATTGTTGGTAAGTTGACAGAAATGTAGATAACTTATCTACATTTAATATTTATCAACATTGTCGATAAGGTTAGAAAATATAGATAATTTATTTGCATATGATATACTTTTGGCAAATAAATTTCGGCGAAATATAATATATATTTGAATGATAATAATTTGGTATGGAAGTATAATATATTTAGCAATTACTATAAAACAGAAAATGTTTTATTAATAATGAAAAATGTTACTGCTAAAAAATATTTTTTTGAGTATTTACAATTATTAATTTATTGGTGAAAAAATATTTTTTTGATTATATATTGTCATTTTTTTATATTTTTTACATTAGTAAAATGGGAAAATTAATATTATTTTATTAAATTAATTTATTTATGCACATATAAGAATTGTTTTAATAAAAAATCATAAAAAATGTGTAGAAAAAGAGAGACAATTTATAATTCTAAATAAAGTAGGAAAGAAATTTGAGAAAAAATAACTATTTTAATATGTAACATTATATTTAAAATATATTGTTTCTTTTGTATTATTTTTCAATATCATATTTTTTAATTAATTTTTATTTTTTTTAAGAAAAAGAAAAAAAATATTGTAGGTTTTATTGAAATAATTAATGATAAAAAATAAACGACTTCTAGAACTCTGAATTTTAAGAGTTACAGTAGATGACATAATTATATTATTTATACACAATAATTTTTAAATAATTTTTAGCAACTTTATAATGATAAAAAAGTTTTAATGAACTATAACATTTCACAATATTTTTGTTAAACGAAAAGTAATCTCAAATTGATTAAAATCTAAAATCTGTTAGTAAATTTGCTACAATATAATATTATAATTAAAGAATAATAAGTTCAGATACAGCATGATAATACATGCATACGTATTGTTTCTTTTTTTTTGTAACACGAATTAATTTTGCAGTCTCTCTCACATGCATTTATATTATTTTCGCATTTCCGCAATATTCCTTTTATTATGTTAATTAAATTCTGGATATTAATCTCGCACATTTACTAATGCACGAGAACGCGTATATTGCATAAAATCTGTTAACAATTGCAATTATTGAAATATGCATTTAATTCGTGGAGCGTGACACATCAATATACTGTATTTTATATTGTAATATGTATGCCGTGCCAAAAATTCCGGATTATTGCTATCTTTTGGCCTATTGATCAATCGTAGATTATCAAAGGACGAAGCGGTCAAAACTGATTGGCAAAACGGAAATACGGCTGTTTTGCATCAGTACCCAACATGAACGGGGGCTTTGCGAGAATCTAAGATCAAAGGAATTTAGTGTTGTTCTTCTCTTGAAATTATTGTGAAAAGACACTTTATTTTATTTTGTAATTTTTTTTGCATTTTATAAATTTGCTTTAAAAATACAATTAAGTACGAAATTTTATAGAACATTATAAATCTATAAACTATGTAGAATAATATAATTATGATCAGATTTATTATATTTACACTTCTTCATATCTAGATTCTCTGTAAAAGTAATAACAAAGATACAAAGTTTAACATCACAAATTTTTCTTTCTCAAATAAGCGGTTTTGCTTACATTTTTTTAGAGATATAAACAACACTTTCGCTTTTTTGTCGCTTAATCTTAAAAATATTACATTTTTTAGAATTGAAAATGACAGATTATTTTGCACTTACCATGTAAATTATATTTCTTGATATCAAACATTTATTTAGCAATTTCTTTAGCAAAAAAGTATTACATTAAAATGTTACAGTTTGGCAGAGACTTTTGAGAGACAGAGGATAATATTATAATTTTTATTTTAGAAGCCCATAAAATATTTTGCTTTTTATTGGTAATATATAAAAGTTATAAAGATTAAAATTGTTGCGACAATTATAAGAAGTCAGTCAACGTAATACAAAGAATGATGAAAACAGGAATGAGCGGTGATTCTGTCGTCCCACATAAAGTTCGGCGAATTTTGCATCGTGAATATCTATTTGCGTAATTCATCGCGTTTTGTTCCGCCCGAGCGTTTACGACGAGACGGGAATCTATGACGTTATGTGCCTGTGTGTGATTTTGATACTTCGACAAGGCGAGAGATCGAGAGAACGCAACGGGCGCGTTTCTTCTGACATTCAAATGTTGGCCGCCGCCGATGAAAAAGGATATGTACGAACCCGACGCCGTCTATTCATCGCTCAAAGGGATCATTTATCAACATATTTGATATGCTCCCTACACTCACCCTGTTCCTAGCCCGATATAGAGAAAAGCCGCACTGCAAGCGCATACACTCTCTCACCGTTCTCCGTTTCTATAGAAATAATATGCTAATCGCGCGAAGGCGGAGTTTAAAAAGTGCTCCGATAAATTCTCGAGACTTTTGACGTAATTTCGCCCCTTCTCGCCGCCGCCGTAGCGTCTTCCGAAAGATTCTTTTTGCGCGCACTTTCCGGCGTCTTGAGAGAACTTTACCTTACCGCGTAACGTGTCCCTCCCCCTCCGCAGTGTACATATATCATCGAAGCGATATACTTTTCTCAGTAGATCATCGTAGATCCTCGTGTCGCGTCGCACTCGACGCGCAGTTTTTTTTTCTTGATCAAAATATCTTGTCAGAATAAAATACCAGAATAATGGATAGCTTTGCAATAAGTACCAATTAATTAATGTGAAGAACTCAAATTGAGCAACTTGAAAATAATTTATAATAATTTTATAAGACAAAATATGTTTTTGTCATTTTGCAAACGATCAAATATGTTTGCAAGAAATTTATTTACAGCGTGCAAAAATTATTCGTACAATTGTCTTTTCAAGAAGATATAAGCGTTAAAGTTTGCTCTTCAATTTGCATTTCGACGTGAAAATATTACGCGGAAAATATACGCGGAATAGAGAAAAATTGAGTTATATACTTGATCGGCTAACAAAACCCTTTGAAAATCGAAACCTTCCAAATTTTCTGCATGCAAGCGTGCCAGTGCGTGTCGGAACGGCATAAGAGTGATTGACGCGAAACGTTAAGATCATTTACAAATCCCCTCATCGGCACTTATGCGCGCGGTGACGCATACGCACATATTTATGCACCCCTGCCCCTTACATATCGCAGCCTCATACATACATCGGTCATATTAGCCGCAAAAGCCGAACGCCTCGACGTCGAGAAGTGCATTCGCTTATTTAAAAGCATTCATATTTCTTTGAAATTAGCACAGTCGGTATATAGTAATTAAAAGTAAATATCCTACATTTCTTATTGTATTTAATTTTTCATATTAGTCTCTTCTGAACTTTATGCATATAGAAAGTGACCATCTTGATCACAACTACGAGCCTTTTTATCGTAATTCCCCAACATAATAGCAGAACTCCGTCGATGTTATGTATCATCATCAATCGTTATAGATATTGGTGTCGGACTAATCTTCTGAACGTTCAATTCCGAAGTGCCACGTCAGCGAGAGACACTTTCAAGCATATTGAGGCGGGATCCGCGGCCGAGATCACCATTTACTTTAAGCCCTCCTTTCCATATTTATCTCGATCTACTTCATTACGGCCACTTCGGGCGTTTCTTTTTCCGTCTTCTTTTCCGCCGAGTGTCTTTCAGTTAGGATTACGACTCACTCTCCTCGGTGAACGAATGGCCGTGCGGTTATTAGGATCACCGCCGACGCAGATTGCTTTTGCGCGAACTCAGAATTTATGGACGGCGATGATAAAGTCCCGCGAATCGTAATCGAATGTCTTTCACGGCGATTCCGTTGGAGAAGTTTCCGATGTGATGACGGCTGTAAATTCCTCATTTTGTTGGATTTGCATTTTCAAAGCAAGCAAAAAGAAAATTGTCATATCATAATTTTTTAGTTCGAGAGATTTATTATTTGAAAATCCTCTCCACATGCATGTCTAATTCTTAAAAATAATTTTAATTATTTATTAAATAATAAAATAATAATATTACTTTATATTAAATATTATTAGTAATAATATTTAATTGTATAATAATTATATAATTAACGTATTAACCAATAATAATAAATTGAATATTGAACCTCTCAAAAGAGATAGTTTGATTTTAATTTAAATATTAATTTGAAAGAATGTATAATAATTTTGAAAAAAAATTATACACAGGGTTTGACAGAAATATACAATCAAAATTTATGAACAATTATATTACAAAAATATAGAAAATTATATCTTTAATAATTTAGTATTTTACAGAATAACTTGTAAAGTAATACAATATCAATCAGTTTTGTGATTTCAAGTGTATTGTGAAAGATTGCATTTTTTCGAGATATTTTTGTTAACTATTATTCAATTTTTTGTTGGTCTTTCTAAAATGAAGCGACGTATTCTAGGATATGTCGAAGAATCTCGCAAGTATCCGCGATAGTCTTAGAGGTTTCTTCCTTCCCCCTAACACGGCATACGCCCTACGATTTAAGTCGTCAACTTTTATGGGGGTAGTTTTCGCGGAGACGGTCCGCGACAAGCCAACATAAAAGGGGGTGGTTTCCGGTAATATGGCGTCTTTCCGCGGAATATGGCGGCAACTGTATACAAGAGATAGCGACAATATTGAAGCGGTAGGAGCGTCCCAAAGAAAACCGAGTGAATCTTGCTTTGCGCTCGTTGCAACATCGGGTCGACGTCCTTTCAATATTTTTTTTAATACGATATAATATTGTCTTATTTATACGTATCACGTTTACATATTTTCTATAAAATATTTCAAAACTACTGAATAATCTTTCAACTATATTAAAAGATTAATTCATTTTCTGTTACTTTTTCTTAGTGATAAACATAGAAAAAAGAAAACGTAATAGATATTACACCAAAAAGAGGAATTAAAATTAATGGAGAGCTTTTATATATAATTTCGAAATACGGGTAAGAGATATTATAATCTGGGTAAATATTCTTTTCATCAGTTGGAAGGAAGGAGGGTTACTTAGGGGGCAAAGTAATCGCGCTCGATAATCGTGGATTAACGCTGAAGAGCGCCTTCCTTCGCAATCCGTTGATTGCATCTGGCATTTGTGTCACGCTCTTGAGCGCCCGGCCGATATGCCGGACAAATTGGAAATTGGTATGCAGTCCGTTGCCCGCTGCTGAACGGCCAGACGGATTTGCGAAGGAGTACCTTAGTCCCGGGTACCGGGCAAGAGTGCTCGTACGTGCTAGGTATGGGTTGCGGAGTAAGCGACGTTAAAGTTGCTCAAATCGCTTCCCGACGATCGTTTAATCCCAGAATACTAACAGAAAAGAAGTGAAACGGCTTTTTTTCATTATACTTTTGTATAGTTTAAAAATTTTTCTCTCTCAAGAAAATAGAAAAGTCTATAAAAAACAGATTACTCAGTAATAGATAAACAGATCACTGCGCCAAATGTTGCTCTATATAACACAAATTTTATCGAAATGCATTATTTATTAATCTTTAATTTAAGGAAAATATAAATTGTGTAAGGTATTGTGTTAAAAACAGTTTGATTGTTTTTAATAAATTTGATAAGATTTATTAGTAGATAGAAAACATAAATTAATTTTGAATAGAACCAACCATGAAACTGAAACGAAAACTGTGTTACAGGTAATTCGGGCTTATTGCGCGCCACAGTGGAAAAACCTGCGTATGTTCAGCCAAGTAGAAATAATCGCCAGAATCCAGCGTAATTTATGATCAACCCAATTACAATTTCTCTTCGTGCGCGTTGCTGGGCATATTTGCAAAATGCATTGCACACAGGTATGTTTATTATTCTTTAAACAGAATTAACGGAATATATTGTAACCATACTGAAAATTTTATGCTTGAAATTTTATTCCTGTGCCTTGAGGCATTCAACTGTTAAATATTAAAAAGTTGCTATAAGATTACTGACATTTTTAGCATAGCATATAAATGTGCGGAATTTATTTAGCATATAGTATAACTTATAAGAGATTAACGTTTTTGGCTTTAACCGTATAATACGGACGAAAAATTCAAATTAATCGTGTGACACGAACTAAAAATTCGAATAATCTTAACCAGGTCACTAAAACTTAATAGATTACGATTTGCAACTTACGCAATATCTTGTCCCGATGTAGCAGTAGGTCTTTACACTGAAAATTGATCGATCTTTCGGTTATCAGTCTGTCGCAGACCGACGTTATTTAAGGATTGTAGTAGGAAGATTTCCCCGGGGATGGTTCGATACGCACTAGTCTCGTTTCTTAGTCGAATATAGGCCGTTGAAAAGCCTACCGAAAAAACTAATATGTAAAAACGTATATCGGTCTGTCGTCTCGAAACTTTCTCGCGTATCTCTCAATTTAACATTTGCGAACACGTGTGAAGTGATATCATTTGCATTCGGTTGCTGGTACTTTTCGAAAATTATTGCGATATTGATCCAACACATACTTTTACTAGCATTCGCAAACGAGTTTCCAAAACTGTAAAAGTAAAATTTAAATCTAATAAAAATTATTAGCGGGTTTGTTGGGCAAATCGAGGGTATAGAGTAAATTGCATTATGATTTCAATTTTCTAATCTGATCATGAACGGCGAATTTAATCTTATAATATGGTATACATATATGATTATGTCTTTTTTTTTTAAATAATTATGTTTTGATACAAAAGATATTGAGAAATGAGAAAAAATTTATAATAAAGCATTGAACACCTCATTTTATGAAAATTTTACATTAAAATTTATAAAGAATTAGTAATGACTAATTGTCATATAAAATTAATAACTTGCGAAATGTGTGAACATATTAAGTATTATAAGAAATTAATTTATAAAAAATTAATTAACAAGCATCTCTTTATTTGACATAATATATTAATATCATTTTTCTGAACTGTTTATTAGTATGTTTACATATAAATATTCATCAAATAATTAATGAAATTTATTTCTAATGGTAAAATTGCTTAAAAAACACACAAAATACAATCCAGTATAATTAAAAAAGATTTTGCACAAGCATTACGGTAATATTGTGAGACAATCGGCGTTATGCATCTCGCGGAAATTATGATAGTGTCTTGCAGCGAATTTTGCTGGCGACTGTACTCTGATTTACTTCCAACCGATTCGCTAGGAAATCGAATTACCCCCGCGGCAAGCACGCGGAGAAACCTCGAATTAAGAAACACTGAGACTTGCGGAAAATATCGGCGCGATATAAATCAAAGCCTCCTAGAAACCTTCTTTTTCTCGTCCCTATTCCACATTCGTTATCGGTGGCACCAATCGATAATCGTCGCGGTTTGTCTCGCAAAATAGACGTGAACGCGAAATCGTTCATTTCTCGGGCAATCGAAGGAACGACTTTAATGCTTGTTGCTGGCGATTTTGCGTTTGCGAAACGCATCACTGATCGCGATAGACGAGCACGTTAATCGTCGGCCATCAATGGTGAAACGTGGCTCTCGCGTTCTGCTCTCGTCCCAGAGGCAATCGATACGTGAATATCCGCAGAAATTTTATGTCCCGGAAAGGAAAAGACCATCTAGACAGTTAAAAAACTTGGTTCGATTACAACCATAAAGTGTCCTCGTTCGGCATTCTGTTTCTGGGGTACTTAAGTAGATTTTATTTTGCGTGTTTTACGATCACGTGTCTCTATCTCTTTACTTGATTTAAAATTGAAAATTTTTAAACATAACTTGGAGGAAAAAATTTTAAAAGGACAAATATATTACGAAGTTAATTATTAAAAAAGTAAATTTAATGTTCTTAGTGTTTCCTTTATTTTTACGGTACTTAATAGTAAGTTTTTGCAATGATAATTAAATACTTGAACAAAACACAATTTTTTAACAATTTTATCAAATACTAATGAAAAAATTAAAATATGATGAAGAATTATGTTGCCGAAAAAGTCCTGCATAAAGTTTAAAAATTGACGTTATGCGGTCCTTCGATTGCCAAAGTGACCCTTACCTCTTAGCGGATTTAAAGAGTCGGGGCACTCTCACGGATGTGCCAAGTTAGGAGGAAGTACGGGGTGGCGTCCTTTAGAGAGATCCTGTGCTTAATGGCGCTGAATCACAGATTGCGCGCACCCCTAAATTTGAATTTATTATCAACCCTTGCCCGACGGAGTGCCGCGCGGCGGTGGATGGCGATCGTACGGCCGAAAGAATAATTTCTCTTCGCCACCAATCGCGACGTGGCCGCCTGCTCCGTCGGGCACCGGCAGCTCAAGCTTCTAAATGCCCAGATCATCATTTTCTCATCAAGATAGAATCGAGCACTTTTAATCGACCTTGCAAAGGATACAGTTTGTTGCGATATCTAATGTCGCGTGTATGCAGTTTTATCTGAGAAATTTTAAGACTGAGAATTTTAATATTATAAAGAAACAGAATTATATCTGAAATCATTAGAGCTTAGGAAAAACAAACTGATTTGTTTATATAATATTCCAAAATATCATTTCTTTTTATCCTTGATATCTTTCTGGATAATTTCTTCTCAGTTGAGTAAGAATATTATCGTAATAGCGTTTTAAATCGCTAATAGAGAAGTCGGCAAAATAGAAGATAACTTTCAGCGTAACTTTTAGCTTATATTTCTCAGTGTGTATCTAACAGATAAGCAACGTATCAGACATATCTTTTACAAATTTGAACCTATGTATACTCTTCAAAGTTAATCGGTTGTTCGCCGACGCATCTATTCCGGACACGACGGCTAAATGAACACGTTAAATGAAACGACACTTAACGCGGTTGCCGAGCACGTTGCATATCCGAACGAGCCGTGTCAAATGAATGCACCCGCAGGCAGCGGCGAGTCGACCGGATGCGGTCTATCGTCGATCGCCGTTCCGTTCGATCGGTTCCGCGGTGTGTCGCGGAACGGCTCGGCGGAACGGCGACGGGACGGGACCATGGGCTGATAAATCCGACGTGTGTATCGTTAGCGCGATAAATCAATTATAATATTCCACGGTTAGCTTGGGGTATATCGGTTATTAGTAAAACCCGTCGGCGTTACGGAAGCCGACCACATATATCCATCGGTCGTGTTTCTCTCTATTACAAATTTCGCGTTTTCTCTCTTCTGCGAGTTCATCATTCGTGCTCTCTCTTTTCCAATAATGCATCCAAATATTTTAAAGCCTTAGATTTTGATATAATTTAGAAACCTAGATATATGTCTACGTGTTTCCTGCAAAAAAATACAAAGAGATACAATTTCTAAAATATTGTATACGTTTTAATATTTTTATATCTTCTTAATCAAGAGAAGAAGTTTTAAGTTTTCAAATGAAACAAGTGTAACTATTCTTTACACTGTAATTTGTTATTCAGAAATTTAGCTTCTTAGTATGACTCACTTTACAACCCCTTCACATGTGAGATCTTAAGCCAATATGTACCAATTGGCGCGTCAAATGGATAATCGGCCATTGTTCATCTTTTCTCTCTCGTTCATCTCGCTTCGTCTCGAGCATTCCTCATCACAAATCCTACTCTCTCGTCCCCATTCTTCAACTCTCGCTTCGATAAATACGCGATCGCCTACTCCCTGTCCGACCCCCATTCAAACCTACGGATTCGCACTTCGGTAACGCCCGGCATTATTCACCCTTTATTGGATTTGCCGATTTTTTCGTCGCGAGTCGCGGCGACGTGGTGCACGCGCGATGCACCGTGACGCCTCTACACAACCGCGATCTACAATAGTGTAGCGACACAGCCGATCGTTACAAAACGCGGGCATAAATCCTACGCGGTCCTTTCCACGGCGATGCGCAGGGCGGAAGGAGACCGATAATGGTTTTCAGAATCGCACCGCGGCTGATGCGTCGCGACACTCGCTCGCTTTCGAGAAATGTTTTCCTGCATCCGCCGCCTGACGTTTTCATCGCGTCTTATGTATTCACAATGTTTCTGTATTCATGCTTTTACACTCAAATAGCAATCAAATTGATGAAATATTTTCTATGTAATAATCGATGAATGCACAGAAATATCGTATTATAATGAAATAGCTACTTATACTAATTATGAATTAATTAGAGGCATAAATTACATATCGTGAATTAAATGGAGTCTGAGTGAGTCGAACATATAAAAATGATCGGTTTAGATTCAATAATCGCTTATTGATTATTGATGAATATTTCAAATCATTACAGAGTTATTTAAATACGAAATCGTCAGCGTTCGCGATAAAGCACCTCGTTATTAAAGTTGAAATTTCTCGAACTGGATCTTCTACGTATTTTTGGCGGTGATATGAGAAAGTAAAGAGGGTTGGTTCGGCACTTTCGAGTTATTCGTCCAGATCTAAAGATTTGGAACGCACCGTGGATTCGCATTTGCATATTCTGCCGATTCCGCCGGTGGCTCCCGTTCCCCGCGATTCTTCTATACAGTCCACGACTTAGTTCTTTCCGCCATCTCTGATGCAAATTACAATATTCCCGTGCCGTTCGTTCGGATATGAAAATATATGCGTTTTCCGATCAAAATAAGATATGCATCCTTTATCCTTCTACACAGCGGAACAAAGAAACTTCACTTGATTTTTCGCGCGTACTCATACCTGCGTTCGTATTATCGCGATTCACAATTCCTGATTCACAATTCTTGATTAACTCTTTTATTAAAATTTAGTATTATAATATTGCATACAGCTTCGACATTTTTTACATAAGTAGGTTTGATTTGATATTTTTTTGTTGCCGCAAAGGTAATTATTTTATTTTTTGTCGATTGAGAGAATGAAAAAT